TCCACAGCACCCACCACTGCCTCCACCTCTACCGCCCCCACCACCCCTGCCTCCCCTGCCCCTGCCACTGCGGCGCCTCCCACTAGGGGCAGACGCAGCTCCTACCTCCTCAGCACGAAGGTAGTCAACAGCTGCAGCAGAGGCGACTGAGGGGAGAAGGGGGGAGGGCGAACACCCCTCAAATAAGGGAGTGCGAGGAGTGCCACGAGAAGCGCCTACAGCGACTATGCTAGTCTCAGCTGCAAGGAGGTGCTTCTTGAGCAGGTCGACAGTGAGGGTGGTGGGGTCAAGGGCGAGAAGGAGGTCCCTGACAGCGGTAAGAGAGTCAGGGAGGCGGGTGACTATGAAGTAGAGAGTGATGTACATGGGAGGAGGGTTCTTGGTGAGAAACTCGGCGGGAAGCGCAGCGCGGTAGCGAGTGTCACTAGTGCGAAGGTGAGTGACGAGGTCGGCTACGGTGGCAAAGGCGGACAGCTCTGGGAACAGGTAGGGCAGGAGTGGTCGGGAAGGAGTAACGAGCGACTACAGCGTCGTACGGTGCTTTCGCAGTCTTGTGCTGTCCGAAGTGAGCGCGTTCGGCTAACGGAAGGTGGTTGCGAACGGCTAGGCGAGCAGCAGCGTCACGAGTAAGCCACTGTGAGCGAGTCGTACTGTTAGCTGTGTCGGCAGGGGCGACAGAGGCGCCAGAAGTGAGGTCAAACAGCGAAATACCGTCCTTAGAGTCGCTCAGTAAGAATAGCTGTAAGTCATCGAGCCAAGAGTCGAACTCTATCGGGCAGCCCTTCGAATCAAAGGTGAGGACGCTCAGGGTCGCCATAGCAGGCAGAGCGTGCTAGCAGCAGGGCAGCGCGAAAAGAGGGCAGGGCAGCGGCCAGCAGGGCGGCGCACAGGAAGGGCAGCGCGGCTGCTAGCGGCGCAAGGGCAGGGCAGGGCGCGCGGCTGCTGGCGGCGCGATGGCAGGGCAGGGCCGGCGGCGGGCGGCGCGTGGGCAGGGCAGGGCGCGCAGCGCCGGCGCGCGGGCAGGGCAGGGCGCGCGGCGGCGGCGCGCGGGCAGGGGAAGCGGCGCGGCGGCGCGCAGGCAGGGCGCGCAGGCAGGGCGAGCGGCGCGGCGGCGAGCGGCGCGTAGGCAGGGCGCGCGGCGCGGCGGCGAGCAGCGCGCAGGCAGGGCGCGCGGCGCGGCAGAGGGCAGCGCGCGGGCAGGGCAGTGCGCGCGGCGGCGAGCTGCGCGCGGGCAGGGCAGGGCAGGGCGTGCGCGGCAGCGCAACGCAGGGCAGGGCAGGGCAGGGCGGCGCGGAACTAACAAGCGCGACTCGTGGGGTAGCGCGGTTCGGTGGGCCCTAAAAAAAATATTCGGTCCTAGGCTAGGACCTGCTCTGAAACCATGTCAGAAGAACGAACGAGGAATGAATGAACTAGCAGCAAGATGGGTACAAGTAGGAAACCCTAATTGGGTTGTACCCCATATGGGCTACCCCACTACAGCCTACACAATAACCAGCATATAAGTTTGACACCACGCTTACACCCAACGTCACCACCGTTTCATAATCGCACTCGCTTCCCCTCGTGGTAGGAAGGCGCAAAGACGTCGCTTTCCCTCCCTGTCGCCCTCGCATCCCCCTTTCCCCATCGCCGGCCGTCTTCATTGCTTTCCCCCTTTCTCCGGCGACGGGCGGAGGAAGCGAGGGCGACGGGAGGGGAAGCGAGGTCAACAGGAGGGGAAGCGAGGGCGACGGGAGGGGAAGCGAGGGCTACGGGCGGGGGAAGTGAGGGCGACGGGAGGGGGAAGCGAAGGCGACAGGCTGGGGAAGCGAGGGCAACAGGAGAGGAAGCAAGGGCTACGGGCGGGGGAAGCGAGGGCGACGGGAGAAAGAAGCGATGGCGACGGGCTGGGGAAGCGAAGGCGACGGGCGGAGCAAGCGAAAGCGACAGGTGGGGGAAGCGAAGACGACGCGCGGAAGAAGCAAAAGGGACGGGACGGGGAAGCAAATGCGATACGCGAAGGAAGTGAAAGCGACGGGCGGGGGATACGAAGGCGACGTGCGGAGCGAAGGCGACGGGCTGGGGAAGCGAAGGCGATGGGCTGAGGAAGCAAAGGCGACGACGCGGGCGACGGAAAGGGAAAGCGCGTGACATGGGAAAGGAAAGTGAGGGCGGAGGGAGGGTCACGCCTGGTTGAGGGGGTGGGGATACGATTTTACGCAACAGCTCCTTAAAACCTGCATTTCGGCACCAAATCTCATCGCGGGAAGCAACCCACCGATCATTCGGTTTCTTTGAAGCAAGCACAATTTTGTCACAATCTGGTTTCGCGAGTGGGAAGGGTTTCGCAACCCAACTGAACCTCCGAGTGCCTGCCTTCCAAACCACGAAAATTTGGCGTTGACTTCCGTTGAGTAAATCAGGTACAGGGCTTTAAGGGAAAGTTTATAAGGGCAACTACACGCGCAACTCTCTCATTCCTATGAATCTATTTTTGCATGTACCACTAGTGTATTTTACCATTTAGAAATGCGACTAGAAATGCCGATTCGGGTGGCCAGCCCCGACAGCAAGCTGAATTCTTCATCTCTATTTACATTTGTACAACTCACAACCAAGGACGTGTCGATTTGCTTAACCATCCTAATCCTTAACGATGGTATCATCGTTAGGTTAGGTCAACGCTTCGGCCTTCCTACCTACCTCGTGTCACCTAGCTCCATGCGACCACTTAGCGCCCCGTTGACCACCCCTAGCACCCCGTGGCCCTCTCTAGCGCCCCGTCAGCCCCTTGGCACCTAACGCCCGCGGCTCTCTAGTCGCGCCCCATAGGCCCCGTAGACCTCTGCTGGCCCCGACGCCCCGCTAGCTCGTCGCCCCGCTGGCCCCGCTGGCCCTGCTCGCCCCGTCGTCTCGTTAGCCCCGTCGCCCCGCTAGCCCAGTCGCCCCGCTAGCCCGTCGCACCGCTAGCACTGTCGCCCTGCTAGCTCCGTCACCCCACTGGCCCAAGAAGGCGAACAGAAGCTCGCAAGAAAGACGTGCGCCCTCATGAAGCAGTTTGAGGTGCCAACAATATATTGGCCGTACGCAATGAACCATCTTGTGTGACTACACAACATGTTGTCATCCCAAAGTCTTCTAAGAAACACCTCTCCCTACAAGGCATGGAGGGGCATAACTGGTTACACTCGCCGGCTGCACGGCCCCACACTGCTCGAACCCGAAATTTTGAGGACCGTGGACGCTAAGAAATTTACCTTGAATTTCGAAGGGGTTCAATGATTGGGCTATCGTGGATTAGCGACGCACGAGCTGACAAAGTCACGCAACTGCATCTTTTACGACAGCACCACAATGCTTAGAAAGAACCTGAAGCCATCTTCATGGGCCAGCATGGCTTTGCCACCTCACTCGACGAGGCCGACGTGTCCGATGACGCGCCCTACTGCAAACCCAACTAACATTATCCAAGCATTCCCCTTACATGCGCGCTACGAACTTCGACATTCTTCCCGGTTTCCCAACCTAATCCTGATGACACTACACGCGTGGCCTACGATTATGCGAGCAAAGAAAACCACATACCCATGAAAGAAGTGTCTGACCGCGAAATCTGTCGCAACACCGTTCGCCACAACGATGGCAACGACGACGGCGGCGATGACGACGTCATCAAAATTACCAGCACACGTGATGTCAAAAGGCTTTAGAAAATCATATCTACGGAAACATGACCTGCATAATTGGACTCGCTGTCGCATTTTGCCAACTTCCAACTCCCCTTTAACTAACAACTGTTTAACAAACTCTGCAAGGGTCCGACCGCAAGAATTGCAAGCCGGAATGCCGAAGCCGGATCCTTGCATCGACGGGGCACGCAAAAGTTTGTTCCTCGCTCCGAAGCTCATGACAAACGTATCCGAACAGCCAAGTGGGTCTTTCGCATCTGTAACATTAGATCGAGTAGATGATATGTGTCGCCGCTGCAGTCAGGGATGTCCAAGTCCAGTACATAGACTACGGTTTGAGGCCTGGTGCGTCCTAGGTAGCGAAGGGTTCGGACTTCGAGCTCGCGAACAGTGTTGTATGTGGTGAAGCCAAGTGCGATGTAAGGAAATTGAGAAGTTCCTTACACTTGGGCAATGACAAGGCATGTGGGCTTGTATCGAGTAAGCGAACACAGCACTTTTCTGGTGGCTAACCACCATGGCCTTCGAGGCGAAAAGGCATGAGGAGCAATAACCAGAATTTACCTTTCCCCGCCGCCTTGACGTTCCCCCCTGTCACCAGTCCCCGACTCCTTCCCCTCCTCCCTCTCTTACACACTCCTGTCGTTTCGAAGGATTGACCTGAAGCATACAATACAATTTCTTTAACATACCCGCCATGGATATTGTCAGGCTACTTTAACTGGACCAATGTCTATCAATTTCTTACCAGATACTATATTTATTAACGGATTTGGATTCTACATGACAAGAGGAACACAAGGATACTAATTGTGTGCTCAAATGGAGAGCATGGTATTCTATGGTTCATTGTCAGGCTACCATTTCCCGCCGTTGACAGTATCTAGGTTTGATTGCCAGGCTTGCGTCTCGAGGTTGACATGTCCAGCGCAGTGCATTACCGAGGTTCAAGCTAAGGTTTCATCTCGGAATCCAACTACCAAGGGTCGCCTTTCTACCAAGAGCAGGACTCCCAAGAAAAAGCATCCAAGGAAAAAGGCGAGGCCTAAACGGCGTGCTTATAAGAAGTCGGTGCTCAGAACTAGCCAGTCAAGTCCAGCGGGACCTTTCCCATCACGAATTTCTGGTTACAACTTTGGCAGTTGTCATCATTGCACCATGCCGCGCAAATCTCACGAATTTCCCTCTTGTATATAATATAAACCCTCAAATCTCACGAAATCTCACGAATTTCCCTCTTCCTGGAAACTTACAGTCCACTCTCATCCTACACTATCAATCAAATTTAATTCCGGAACTTCAGCTCGGCCTGATACGTTTCCAAAGCTCCTAATCTTTCCTTATGCGAACCAGCCCAGTCCCTGTGAAACCCGTTGGACAGCTCACCGCAATATCTGGCGTGATCTCATTGAGTGTGACACAAAAGGGCGACAAGTTGTACTTGTTGCCTTGCTGCTGCTCCTCCTGCTGCTCCTCCTGCTGCTCCTCCTGCTCCTCCTGCTGCTGCTGCTGCTGCTGCTGCTGCTGCTGCTGCTGCTGCTGCTGCTGCTGCTGCTGCTGCTGCTGCTGCTGCTGCTGCTGCTGCTGCTGCTGCTGCTGCTGCTGCTGCTGCTGGTGCTGCTGCTGCTGCTGCTGCTGCTGGTGCTGCTGCTGCTGCTGCTGGTGCTGCTGCTGCTGCTGCTGGTGCTGCTGCTGCTGCTGCTGCTGGTGCTGCTGCTGCTGCTGCTGCTGCTGCTGCTGCTGCTGCTGCTGGTGCTGGTGATGAGCCGTGGCTGAAGCAGCCTTGTGCCACAGCAAATGAGGTGCTGATCGGGTTGCTGGACGATCAGCAAAGTGCCCAGGTTTCTTCTCAGGTGGTTTCTCAGGTGGTGGCCTATGTGGACGCTGACGTGGATTCTCAGGTTGATGCTCAAGTGGGTGCTCAGGCGCGTGCTCAGGTGTCCTCTCAGGTGGGTTCTCAGGTGCCGCTGCTACTGGGGTCAGAGCATCCCTCTCACAACCATCTCCACAATTCGTCTCATCCAAGCCGCTGCCGCCCACATCAGGACCAGAAGACACCTCCCCCAGGTACGGCCGCCCCACAGCAGCTGACTTTTGCCGCGCCTCAGAAGCCACGCCAGGCCCAGAAGACACCTCCCCCAAGTACGCCCTCCCCACAGCTGCTGGCCTATGCGCCCCATGATCCCCCTCCCCAGCCCCGATTGCATCTTGCTGCTTCACGCCCCTTTCAAATTGCCTCCTGCCCTGCTGCCTGCGTCTCTGGTTGTCTTGCTGCTTGCAGTGCTCCCTGCCGTGGTGAGTGAGGGTGAAGGCCAGGTGCTGGTCCCACCTGCCATGCAGCATCGCCAGCTTCTCCCCCTGCTCGTTCTGCACATGCCCATGCACCTGGCGGTTGGAGGGGTGGGGGAGTAATGGGGGGGTAGTGAGGGGATGAAGCTAGCAATGGATGGAAAGATATTCATGTAGGGAGTACAACAGCCGTGCAGCATCGCCAGCTTCTCCCCCTGCTCGTTCTGCACATGCCCATGCACCTGGCGGTTGGAGGGGATGAGCAAGCACCAGGTGAGAGAAGGAGGGACTGCATTAGGTGCACCTGGGTGAGGTGTTTGCGAAGATTGATGCACTGAGTCTGAGAGTGGGCGGCATACCGAGCAGATCCCATCGAAGCAGGACAAGCAGAAACACACACCACTCGCTTTTGCAAACACACATGCATTCACTCACTCACACAGACACACGCGCGCACGCATGAACGCACGCACACACAGCACTTCACTCGCCTGGTGTTTGCTGCGGTCGAACAGTGAGGGCTCTTTGAAGTGCACATGCACCAACAGCCCCCGACTGCCTTCGCCCCCCACACACACAGACTGTTGGATCCAGGTCGAAACTACCTTTCTATGCTACAAGAGTGATCTCTTGCCTCAGACCGCATGCGCACTGCTTTTGGACTCAACTGGTGCTTGATTCTGTCAAACAGCGAGGGTTCTTTGAAGTGCAGATGCACCGACAGCCCCTGGCGGACTATGTTGCACAGAAAGAGGGAGCGAGGACTTCAATACCTGATGCTTGATTCTATCAAACAGCGAGGGTTCTTTAAAGTGCAGATGCACCGACAGACCCCGGCCGCCTGTGCTGCATCGATCGACACACACGCACTCGCAGTAAAAGGCTCTGTGCCCCCTGCTTCTCAACGCACCTGGTGCCTGCTTCTCAAAGCGATGGCTCCTTGAAGTGCAGATGCACCGACACACACAGAGACAGCCCTGCACTACCTCAAACCACATCCCCACTGCCTCAACTCACCTGGTGCTTGCTGCGGTCGAAGAGCGACGGCTCCTTGAAATGCAGATGCACCGACAGACCCTGGCGGACTATGTTGCACAGAAAGAGGGAGCGAGGACTTTAATTCCTGATGCTTGATTCTATCGAACAGTGAGGGTTCTTTGAAGTGCAGATGCACCGACAGACCCCGATTGCCCCGGATGTGCATCGAGCCCAGGTGATCCACTCAAAGGGTGACTCGACACGCGGAAGAGAGCTTCGGTGACGAACTATTAAAACATGAGCGAGGGCTCACCCCACTGCCTCAACTCACCTGGTGCTTGCTACGGTCGAACAGTGAGGGTTCTTTGAAGTGCAGATGCACAGACAGCCCCCGGCTGCCTCGGATGTGCATCGTGCCGAAGTGCTCCACTTGAAGCTTCCCCACTATTATGTTGTAGATGCCCGTTGTCACCTTGCTCCACTCGTACCGCTCTCCACCATCTCTGATAGCTGAGGAACTCCCCCTGTTCTTCCCGCCTTCTGCCTTGCTGCCCTTGCCCCCTCCGTTGCTCCTCCTCCCTTCTCTGTTCTCCCTCCTTGCCAGTAGCTCCCTCCCCCCCTCGTCGCTACAGCTGCCATCACCAGTTTCCTCCTCCTCCCCCTCTTCAGCCCCCTCCTCCCCCTCCACCTGCTCTCTCCCCTTCCCTCCCCCCTGCTCTCCCCCTTCCCACCGACCCTCTTCCTCCTCCTCCTTCCTCTCAACCTCCTCACCCCCACCATCAGCAAACACAACGGAGATGACACCGCAAGGCACCAGGTGCATCGACGGCCCCCAGAACCGCACCTTGAGAGTGGAGTCTCCAAACAGTTGCCACCCGTTGCCCCAGCAGTGTGCTGCCACCGTTGGGGGGTGGTTCAGAACCTGGTAGGGGGGAGGAAGGAGGAGGGAGGAGTGAAAGAAGGAGAATTGGTAGGGGAGAGGAAAACAGGGAGGTGGGGGAAGGGAGGAAGGAGGGCTTAGAGGGCATCAGGTGCATGGATGGACGGCCCCCAGAACCGTACCTTCCTTGAACGAGGAATCTCCAAACAGCTGCTCCCACTCGCTCGCCCAACAGTGGAAGGCACTGGTTGGCGTGTGGTTGAGATGAGAGCCGCGCATTGAAGTGAAATTCCTCACGTTGAAGAGCAGCCCTGAGAAAGAACTCATATTACCCGATCACAAAGACGGGTGGTAATTTTTTTTTGACTCGACTCTGTTTTTTAGTCGACCTAAAAAATGAACTCATCTTACCTGCTCACAAAGACGAATGGTAAAATCTCCACACAAAGCTCACCTTCTCCGCCAGCAGCTTAAAGCCTTTGTCGGGGTAATCAGCCTCGTAGGTCTCCCCCAGCAGCGGGTTGAAGGGCTTGTGCATGCGCGCGCTGGTGTTGGCATAGCCTGACATGGCAAAGGCTGCCACGTGGAGAGCTCTCATTAGCTGATCGCCCTGGAGAGGAAGCACAAGGGAGCACAAGGGAGCACAAGGGAGCAGACGATGGAAGGGGGGAAAGGAGAAAGCACTTTTCCTTCTCCTTCAAGCTGCAGCGCATCTTTAAAAAAATCTTATAAGGCCCTGCTTTTCCTTCCGTCCCTGTCCTTTCTTTTCTCCTACGTCTCTCCTTTTTCTTTTCAGTTCCCATTTCCCTTGATCCCCGTATCCCTCTTCACTCTCTCCCATCCATCCAGTGCTCTTCCACCCCACCCTACCTTCCTGCCTTTACACAGTGCACCTACCTCCACACACTGCCACCCACTCTCTCTCATATACCCTGCCTGCCACTCACTCACTACCACTCTGCCGCCCACCCACTCCCACTCACCCGCCGCCCGTACTCTGCCGCCCGGTCCAGCAGCCAGCTGTATTCCATCTCCTCGGCGCACTTGTGCAGCAACCCCATTGGCTCGTTCAGCTGCACCGGCAGGCACACTCGGGACAAATCCCGCCCCACGCACTCGCGCAGCGCCGCCCACAGCCCCCCGGCTAGGCTTCCCGGGCGGTTTTGCTTGTCTGGTAGCGGGAGACGCGTGCGGCGTGGGACAAACGGGTAAGAAAAGCCGACCTGGAGGTGGGAAGGGAAAGGGTGTGAAGAGTGGGGGGCAAGATTTGGGCTGAAGGGGGAAATGAGGGGGAATTTCACATCACAAAAGACACTAGTTTTGAGGCGCCTCAAAACTAGAAATGAGGGGGGGACTTTCGAGCTCACAGATCCAACAGGAAACTCGCTTCTGAACATTCTGATACTCCATCAAGCAGGACCACATCTGCCCGTACATTGACGTGCAGAGCTCAATCACCACGCAGAGCTCTCCGCCATGGCTCCTTCTGAGAACTTCAACTTACTCAATGTCATGCTTAGCTCTATCAGTTCGACCATCTGAATACAGATCCGGGATCTACTCATCAAGAGCTTGTTTATGACGCCAACATTGTGTTCACAGAGCGAACATCGGTTAGTCGTAACTGCTTCTATGAAGATCTCTGTTTTTCAGGTTAAGAAACTGTTTTTAAGCTCAAGACATTCAAGTTACTCTAAGGAAGTTAAAATGGTCGGGTCAAACCGTCGCTTAAGATGGCACCGTGAAAACAAGACAGGTTCAAGACAAAGAAGCGGAAAGTGCAAGTACAAGGAGGCTGGACAACGGAACATATTTCGTTTATCTGCCTTTGCTGCGATTCATCGTCTACCAAAGAGAGAGGAAGCTCATAGTCAAGTGCGGAGACCACCTCAATCACTAGCAGGAACGATCAAGGATGGACCAGAGCCAATTTTCCATCAGATTGAATTTATGACGTTGGCGGAACGGGACGTTTCACGAAATTTTGGCACGGCTCCTAGAGTATTTCAAGACGTTGACTATTTTCCTACTGGAATGTGTGAAGAAGGTTATTCCGACTTTAAGATTCTGAAGAACAGGAAGACAGAAGTCGATTCTGGAATTTTCCCTACGTTACAAGAAGCATATTTTCATTTGGAGGAAATAGATGACGCCGTCAGAGTGTTTCGGCGCCATGAATCAAGGCAAGCTACTCGAGGTGTTTTTCCCTCTGAAGGTGTTTTGCTCTCAGCTGCTCCTATCACACCGCTCACACAAGCTCGAACGACTGCAAGTGTGATTGGAAACATTCGTCATCCCCAAGGCCCTGTCAGGCATCAACTTCTAAGCAGGGCAATTTCTGCTGTAACCCAACTCCACCAATCTCAGCAAGGCAAGGTCAGAGCCAATCGACCAAGGCTGAAGCGTCACATTCGTCACCAAGGCCCTGTTCAGCAGCAGCGACCCAGAGCTGCTTCTGTTGCAAACCAACCTCACCAGACCAGGGAAGGCAGGTTCGGAGGAGCCAAGCCACCAAAGCTGAAGCGACAAAACCAACATGAGGAATGTATCGAGATGCTTCTGCAAGTACTGAAGTGTGACAACGGCACAATAGGTTTTTGTGGCGGGCAAGCTGAAATGTCTAGGCGTTTGGTCTATAAGCCTCGGTAGAGATCTGGGAGGGTACGGTAGTATACACTACCTATGCCCTCTAGCACCGGTTACGACCGTGGTGTTTTTGCATTGTACGTGTATAGGGCATATTTCACCTACCAAAAAAAAAAAAAAAAAAAATGAGGGGGAATTTCACATCACAAAAGACACTTGATTTTTCAACCCAGAATGCCACGAATTTGATTTTCCCTACCTCATTCATTGGCAACTCGGCCTCTCCAGCCCTAAACTTTTCCACCGTGTCCAATGGGCACTGCTCCATTCCTTTCTCCCCTTCCCCCTCTGATACCCCACCTCCCCCACCTCCAATTCCCCTTCCTCCTGCAACCACTCCCCCGTCCCCTCCTCCCCCGACTCCCCCCTCTCCGCCCCTCCCCCACTTGAACTCTCCCCCCTGCTCTGCTTTCCCTTCATTTCCCCATTCATGTGCGCCCTCCCCCACCTCCCCCTCAACCACCACATCATCCCACCCCTCTGCTGCCTCCCCTGCCAGCTTCTCTGCCGCCTCGAAGAACATTTCCTCTTCCTCAAATGGTCCGTTGTATTAAATCAGCAGGGGTACAGACATGCAGTTCTATCCATGATAGCCTCAATCCCATAAGCCCATCAACTCACCCCTCTTCCCCCCCCCCCCCCCCGAGTGACCCTCTAGCCCTCCAGCGTGTGGAGGATGTCCCACAGGTGCAGCGGCCAGGGGTCCGCTGCCATCTGGGGGTGTGCTGCCTCAATCCCAGCCCTGGCCTTGGTGTGCAGGGCGTTCGCCTGGGAGCGCTGGAGGGCCACTGAACAGCGCTGGCTGAAGTGGCAGGCCATCTTCTTGGCGGATTTCGCCAAGGGGCTGGCCCTGAAGCGGTTCCTAGCTGCTGCTGTGGCCAGCAGCTTCAGGAACGCCGTCGTGGGGGGCGCGTTTGCCCCATAGGTCTCGACGGCCAGAGCGCAGAACACCACGTGTTCAGTGTGTCGGTAGTAGTCCCTCTCCTTCCGCTTCTGTGCCTCCCTTGCCGCCCAGCCTGGGGGTTTGCGGGCCGTGGGGTCTCGGTTCTGCAGCACAGGGTCAGTGATAGTGGTGTCTGTGATCCAGGTCTCTCCGCTGTCCGGGTCTTGTACAATCACATCTGCCTTCTTCGGGTCATCCGGAGGTGAGTACATCGCATTCTCCAGGTATACCACCAGCTGCGCCTCCCTCGCCATTTTAGCCATGGCGAAGGCCAGCTGGTTGTGTGTGCGCGTCCTGTCGGGGCCTGTGCTGCAGCGGAGTAAGTGGTTGGGTAGGCTGCAGTCGGCAACGAGTTCTCCGCACTCGCACACAGTTGGTACATTCTGTCGGATGCCCATGCGGAAGGCCAGGGCCGCTCGGAACTGACCCGGTGAGAAGCAGAGGTCCGGGGTCAAGGGTAGTGCCTGCAGCCACGCTCCCGCTCCCTCTCCTCTCAGGCTGACTAGGCGGAGTGTGTGACCCATCTCGGGGGCTGACTGTATTGTGCGTGACTCCTCTCTTAGGGCGTCGGCCTTTGCCGCGTGCACTTCCTGGGAGAGGGCGCGCTGCAGCTGGTCTTGGGACGGGGTTTGCTGCTCCTCCCATAGGTTTTGTAGCGCCAGCGGTGGCAGTCGCCCCTCCATGTCCTGGATGGTCACGGAGTGCGCTGCAGACGGCTGCAGGGCGTTATTGTTGGCCCCTAGTGGCGCGGTTGCAGGCAGGTCCAGGGAGCGGAGCAGGCGTAGCGCCTCAGTTGTAGATGCCAGGTAGGCCGGTGCCGCTTCAGTTGTGGGGTCCGTAAGGCCCAGTCCGCCTAGGGCTACTGGGAGAGTTGCCTGTCGAAGGAGGAAGTTGAACTCGGCTTCTCGGCGTGGCGGTTGAATGCTGGCGGCGGTCAAGGCGGTGTTCAGCAGTTCAGAGCACCATGCATGCCATTCCGAGAGAGGTAAGACGTCTGCTGGGGTGGTGCGCAGCAGGTAGCCGATTCTGCGGCTGATGCAACGGGATAATAGCAGGAGGGTGTGTTGTGGGTGGATGGTCGCGAGAGAGCCCAAGGGTGCCGCCGCGTCTGTCAGGGTGCTGCGGACAAAGTCAGAGCAGAAGCTCTGCGACCCCACAGGGCTTCCCAACACCCGAACCCCCTCGTGGGTGAGGGGAAGGCCCTCGGGAAGCGCGTCGCCGCCAAGCGGCGTGGAAGACCATGCCGACGACTTCCTGAAGTTGCAGGTGAGACCATCCTGTGCTAGTAGCGGCGTCAGCACTCCCAGCGCGCCGAGCGTCGCCGCCGCCGGTCCTATCATGGTGATATCGTCTGCGTAAGCTAGGACCGTGACTTCCGGGTGTTCAGCTGCTACCCGCCTGAGGTGTTGCTGGATTGACGCCGCGAATAGAAGGGGTCCGAGGGGATCCCCCTGCCTGACTCCCCTTCCGCTGGTGAGTGCCGTTGGGCTTAAGCGGGGATCGATCAGCAGCGGTGAGGGCGTTGCGTAGAATGAGCGTGTGAATGGGATGAGTGGAGCGAGCGGGGTGTTGGTGAGCGCGTTGAAGAAGGCTTTCCTCTCTACGGAGTTGAAAGCATTTTCAATGTCGAGTTGGAGTACTAGGCTGGAAGGTTGTGAAGTGGTAAGGTCTCTGACTGCGTGGATAACGAACTCAGCTCCGCCTGGGACTGCCACGCCGAATTGTTGGGGTAAGAAAAAACGCCTTGTTTCTCCTTGCAGTTCCGAGAGTGCCACCTTTGCTGCCAGCCGAAGCAGGGATTCCCCTATCGCGATAGGGCGTACCCCCCCCCCTGGTTTCGCGAAGGCGATGAGGCGGGATGGTGAGAGAAGTGCTGCAACCTCGGTGGAGAGATTCGTCGAGAGAAGGTGTGTTACGGCGGAGTGCAGGTGCCCTAGTACTTCGATGTTACTTAGGGCTGGGTCGCGGTAGTGTTCAAATGTTGACCCTGATGGGCCAGCCCCAACTCCGCTGGGGCAGTCCCCGAGGACGTCTGAGAAACTTTCCGCGGTGCACGAAAATTGCGTGGGTGTTGTGTAGGTGTGGACCCAGTCGGGCAGCTCAATTTGGGGTTGGGGATGTTTCAATTCCAACTGCTGCAGTGTTGCGATCGTCGCAGGGGCAGCTGGCGAGGGTTGGAGAGCTGCCAATGCTTTTCGCAGGTTACCCCGTTTCACCAACCCCTCCACACGTGAGCAGATTCCCAGGGGGTCATTTTCCTCCCAGGAGAGCTGCCAATGCTTTTCCTCTTCCTCCCCCTCTTCATCGTCCTCTTCCTCTCCCTCCTCCTGATCCTCTTCCTCTGACCATCCCTCCGCTTCTTCCTCCTCCTTTCCTTCACCATTTCCTCCCCCACGAGCCCCCCCCCTCCTCCTCTGCATGCGCATCAGTTCCGATTGCAGCAGAGCTTTCTCGATCTGTCGTGCAGTGACGTGCCATGCCATTTCACCCCACCCGCATGCCCGTAACAGCACATGCGCATGCCATGTCAGCACATCCACGTGCCCATGCACGCATGTTTAAACACACAGTTTAGGAAGAAGAATTAATAGCTACGTTCATCTTGTATGAAGTATCTATCGATACAACAGCAGAGGGACCTCCGGTAGTAAACCCCACATACCTCTAGCTCCTGCATCCTCGTTATAAGCTGCTCCTTTGCACGCCTCTCCCCCAGCAGCACCCGCTCCACTACCTGCCGTTGAACCACCTCCTCGCATCGCGTGATGACGTCATCGCTGACGTCAGCTGCCCTTAGGAAATCGACCATAGGCTGGAGAGAAATGCGTGACGGAGCCGGCTCTGTGTCCACGTCAGCAGCATCAGCTATGTCCACGTCACCATGACCGCTGCTGATGTCACCGCCATCATTAACTACAGTTGCAACGGGTGTGGCAGCAGCAGCAAGGGCAGGAGGAGGCACGGGAGAAAGGGCGGCAATCCCGAGGGAGGAGGGAGCACGGGAAATCGGCCCAGGGGAATGCGGTGCAGCAGAAGCAGCGGGAGAGACAGCCGCAGCAGAAGCCAATCCAGCAGCCACAGGGAAAGGAAGTCTGGCAGCCTGTAGCATTGTGTAGGCGAAGGGGGGTAACACCGTTACTGAGTCCTAACATCACTTCCAACCACTTGAACATCACTTAAAATGTGATAAACACCTAGGCAAGGGCACAGGGTACAGGACACAATCAAGTTCCAAACAGGACGTGTAGAACGATTCTGGAGGGGTCAAAGCTCGGCTGGGGAAGAACGTCAGCCAACAGTTCTGATTCTTTTCCCGGAACTGAAGTGGGATGGCTGGTGAGTGTGTGTGCGGTCCGGATGCATGCGGCTCAAATCTCGCCTCAAGAGCTTGCAGACCGAGGCGACAGCTAGGATGCGTGATTTTGTGTGCGGGTGCCTGCATGTATGCGTGCATTGGACCGTAAATCTCACCTCGATAGCTTGCAGCTAGAGGGAGCAGTCTTCTGCTGACTCAGCACACAGTATGAGCGTGCGCGCTGACGTGGCAAGATAGAATTTAGTGGGGTCGCTGCGGCTGGGACGCAAAGAGGAGATCTGGAGTGGAGGAGGGGGGGGATTGGGGGGGAGTGGAATCTACGTTTGAGACGACTCAAGAATCGAAATTGGTGGGGACTCTGCGGCTGGGACGCTGAGAGGAGATCTGGATGGGACCGGGGGGAAGAAGGGGGGATGCGGGAGGAGCGAGGCGAGTGGAGGAAGGAGGTGAGCGCGGGGGAGTATGGTGTGGGTGTGATATGAATGTCAAGTGAATGTGAAATGAGTGTGAAGTGAGTGTGAAGTGAGTGTGAAGTGACTGTGAAGTGTGTAGTAGTAGTGTCAATGGGACACACAAGCAAACTTGGATATAAATCTGATTTCGTCTCAGCACTTGACACACACAGACTAGACTCATAAGCAACAACTCACCGTGTGAAGCTCGATCACTCCTTGCGGCTCCTCTGTCTCAACCACAAACCCAACGCCCCTCGCCCCACTATCTCCCCACCCCTTCATCCCTCCCTCCCTGCTGCCCCTACCCTCCTCTCCCTCCTCCTTCTCCATCCTCCCCCCTCCATACCCGCAGCTCTCCAGGGAACTGAGCCTAGGGGATGCCGCCAGGAGCTTTGAAACCGCAGCACTTAAAGCCCGGGGGGTGAGCGGGGGCGTTTGGAGCATGCTGGGCGTTCTTGGCTTTAACCGGCTGCTGTGGTGGTGGCGCTGGTGGGGGCTACGGTGATGCTGATGCTGATGGTGGTGGTGGTGGTGGTGGTGGTGGTGGTGGTGGTGGTGGTGGTGGTGGTGGTGGTGGTGGTGGTGGTGGTGGTGGTGGTGGTGGTGGTGGGGGTGGCGGTGGTGGTGGGGCCTAGGATTCCCCTCACTCCCGCTGTAATGCTCGCCAGCAGATCGAACGGGTGACAGTGGCCCCACCTCCTGGATGGTAACCCTATCGTCGTCCCTCAAACCATACCCTATTGCTGCCCCCTGCCGGTTTTCTGTGGGAGGTAGCGTTACCCCCTTGACTTGCTCACTTTGCCCCTTCAACTCCTCATCTACCTCCTCCTTCCCTCCCTTCGCACCTTCCTCCACCCCCTCCTCCTCCTCGCCCCTTTTCCCACCTCCCGCCTCATCCTCCTCCTCATCTCCTGACATTAATGGCGTTTCCCTCTCCATCCCTTGGCAACTTGAACCCTCGCCCTTATCCCCACCCTCTCCCTCACCCTCCTCATCCCCACCTTCTCCTGCCCCCTTTCCCTCCTCCTCATCCCCCTGGCGCAGCATCCCTTCGTTATAGTCACCAATCAGGTCCGAAACCGCCCTCCCTAAAACCTCCACGCGACCGTACCGCTGGGGAAGCTTCTGAATCATTGCAGCTGTGGAGCTGCCTCGGAGCTTGAAGTAGAGGAGGTGGCGCTGTGGAGAGGGGTGGATTGGAAGACGAGGAGGGAGGGGGGGGGGGGGGGAGGTTGAGGAGAATGAAACGAAGTGACTTGCCCTGGATTTGACCCAGAAGTTTCTGAATCATTGCAGCTGTAGAGCTTCCCCGAAGCTTGAAGTAGAGGAGGTGGTGCTGGTGGATTGGTTGTAGTGGGGAGGGAAAGAGAACAAAACCAGGTGAATTGTCCTTGCAAGGTGACTTGAACCTGAAGCTTCTGAATTGTCGTAGTTGTAGAGCTGCCAAGTAAGAAAAGAGGTGCTGTGGAGTGAAGTAATGGAGGAAGGAAGCGGAGGAAACCGAGGTCTCACCTGTCTGAGAAGGAAGAGCCTCGGCGCTTATCCCCGCCCAATGTGCACCCACTTGGACATCACTCCCACCGTCACCCTGCTGTACAAAGCTTCAAAACACGAGCTCAAGAAGCAGAATTTTTTCCCACCCCCTTGCCCCTCACCTGTCTGAGAAGGAAGAGCCTCGGCGCCCACCCCCGGCCGATATGCACCCACTTAGACAGCACGCCCACAACCAGGACTATCACCTGACCGAACTCCTGTGAAAATCGAAATCTAAACAAACCGACATTCTTCCCTTGCCGCTCACCTGTCTGAGAAGGAAGAGCCTGGGCGCCCACCCCCGGCCGAGGTGCACCCACTTGGACAGCACTCCCACAACCATCACCTAACCCAACCGATGAGAAAAACTCTGAACCCCAACATTCTAGCCTTGCCCTTCCCTCACCTGTCTGAGGAGGAATAGACGTGGCGCCCACCCCCGGCCGAGGTGCACCCACTTAGACAGCACGCCCACCGTCACCCTGCTGCCATCCCGCATCGCTCCATACGACTCCTGACGCTCCTCACTCGCCGCCATTGCCTCCATCTTGGAGGATCGTCAAATTTGATACTGGGGTTAGTCCGCAAGAGTCAACTGGCGCGCAAAGAGTTGGGGACAACACTTCCAGCCGTGAGCGAAAGGGTGGTGATTCGACGGGCACTGTCTGTCTGTCCTTGTTGAACGGGTAAATGGAACGGTCTGGTCTGCAGAGCGATTTGGTGCTGCCCTGCCCTGCAGCACGCTGCTGCAAATCGACCGTGCCCGTGCCTGTGTGTGTGCTTCGTTGCTTTGTTGCTTCGTTCATCGACCGAGCAAGTTACCAGGTCCGCCGCGAGTTGGATAGGAGGCGGGGGAGCATGTGGGGGGAGGAGGGCGGGCGGACGCAGGACGCGTCGACGGTTGGATGGGTGAGCGGAGCAGCAGGTTTGCCTCTGGGCAGAGGGACGGGCGCGAAAAGAGGCTCGGGTGGGGACGATGATGATGACTCTTCATCGTGGGGAGAACGCCCCAGGCGGTGCGTGCGGAAGAGCATGTGGGGAAGCATGTGGGGAAGCATGTGGTGAGGCGTGTGGGGGAGCATGAGCAGGAGCAGGTTGCACGAGCTGGTGATGGGTGCGGACGGATGTATTGGCGCGCAGTGGCGCACTGGCGCGGAGAGAATCCTGGCACAAGGTGGGACCTAGACCTGCGCAACGTACTGAATGGCGCGCAAGCTGCGCCCAGGCGGCACTCTGACGCGCAGGCCCATGGGAAGATAAGGGGAAGCGCACTGGCATGGGGGACGGGAGCGGAATGTGCGCAGCCCGCAGCACAATGCCACCTCGAGGAAATCCCATATTGCGCGAGGGGAAAAGCGGAGTTGATGCTCGAAATGCGGCGCGGTACTTGCGGCATGTTGACACGAGAGAGAGAAAGCGCGTGTCCCGTCTGGGCGCTGCGTCCTGATGAGAAGCGCCGAAGCGCCAGCAGAATCGAACCGTCTAACTGGAAGCTGAGCTGGCTAGCTGCGGACGCAACTGAAAGCTGTCCGACCGCACAAGACAATCCTTGCATGCGAGTTGTTCAATGGCTACGTGGAACGTATTTGTGGAGTACGAAATGTGTGCAGCTGGAGTGGAAACGCGATATAGGAGAATTTGTTGCAGCGCCTTCGCTTTTGGATGTCGTGTGTAACGCGAACTCTAGCACTGAAGTTCCTTCTTCATGTTTTGTGGTGTATATTACATATTGCTAGAACACTACAAGCATCAACTACATACATTCTCTAGCAGGATATACCACAGATGCGTGTGCTTGTTGCGCTACACAACTCATTGTACGACACAATGTTGTATGCTACATGTTTTCTACACCTACTTCAGGTCCTGCTACAACTGCAGCAGCAATGTCTTGAATGGTGAGAGGGGAGTGCCGAGCCGCATATTGAAACAGGATCTGTAAAAATGTGGAGGAAAAGAGAATTTGAAAATGAGGGAGGAAGTCGAAAAGGGGATATTGAAGTGGAGAGGGGGGGATTTGTGAGTCGACTCAAAAGTCAACTTGCTACCACTGCAGCAGCAATGTCTTGAATGGTGAGAGGGGAGTGCCGAGCCGAATATTGAAACAGGATCTGAAAAGATGTGGAGGAAGAGAGAATTTGAAAATGAGGGAGGAAGTCGAAAAGGGGATATGGAGGGGGAGAGAGGGGGATTGAGCCAAGAGGAGAGACAAGATGAAGAGGGAGGAGAGTTGGCGGACGACTAGGAAGAGAATCGGAATCAGTCAGACACAGCCCCAAAAAAACCAGCCTGCAGCAGAAGAGTCACCATCACATGACCATCACAACCCCACATTACAAACAACAAGCACACATCCCACCTCCCATATCCCTTACTCTTTACCCATTGCACCTGGCATGGCCATCACCCTCATTCCCACCTTGGAGCAGCTATCGGCGCCGCCTCTCCTCTGGTTGGCTGCGCCCTGAAACAGCAGGTCCGCCGCCACTACTCGCCCCGGCTCCAGGTGCAACCTCAAATCCCTAACCCGCCATCCGTGTTCCAAACCCCTTACCCAAGACAGCTTATTCCCACCTTGGAGCAGCTATCGGCGCCGCCTCGCCTCTGATTGGCTGCGCCCTGAAACAGCAGTCCGTCCCCACCACTCGCCCCTGCTCCACATGCCGTGTTCACCCACCTCCAGGTCACACCCTTAACCCTATCCCCAAAACCCTGAACCCACCTTGGAGCAGCTGTCAGCGCCGCCTCTCCTCTGGTTGGCTGTCCCCTGAAACAGCAGGTCCGCCCCCCCCACTCGCCCCTCCTCTAGATGCAACCCCCCTGGGCCTATGGCGAAGCGCAGGAGCTTGTTGGGACGCAGATGCAGCGAGGGCTGGAGAGAGGATGAAGGGGAAGAGAGGGGCAAGGAGAGGAACGAGGTATTAATGAGAACGCAGCACACGTCTGGCAGCAGGTCCGCCCCCACCACTCGCCCCTGCTCCACATGCAACCCGCCCGGGACCCACAGCAATTCGCATAGGTATGTACGTCATTAAGAGTGGGAGGGGGCAGAGAGCCTAAGACCACTGGAGGGTCATCGCTCGTCACCAGAGAGCCGTCTGTTGCGAGCAGGAGGGTGTTGAGGTGCTTCAAACCATCGCCCCACCACCATACTTGGCAAGGACATGGAGGCCTTTGAGCCGGCTCAAAAGGACATGAGGGTTCGTACATCGTTGAGAGTGTGCGGAGGCAGGGAACCGAAGACCACTGGAGGGTCATCACTTGTCACCAAAGAGCCGTCTGCTGCCAGCAGGAGAACCACCTGGGATGGATGCACAAGGGTGCAGAGGGGTGCAGGGGGATGCAGAGGAAGGCAGAGGGGTGCAGAAGTGAAGTGACATGGGTTGGGGGGGCGAGGGAAGAAGAGCATAGAGGATGACTTAAGAGACCTAAGAAAGGCAGAGAGAGAAACAAAGAGTAGGAAAACGAAGTCACCTTCTTTTCCTACTCAGAGAAAGAAGGCCACGAAGTGATTCCTTCTTGAGATTTCTCACAAGTGATCGAAATAAAGCTATTTCAGAATCTCAGAGGTGGTCCAAATATAGATTGTGATTTTTTTCTCGAAAAAGAAGACATGGAATAATTCATGGGGTTTCCCTCGTGTGCGGAAAACAGGACAAACATGGAGGAATTATGTGAAAAACGGCAAAAGTGGCATGCGGAATACTTGGGAAGGAAATGTTCCTTCCCAAAGAGGTTATCATTTCCACCTGCCTGCCCTCAACCTGACCCGCGGGCCCTTACAATGCTTCTACCCGAGATGAAAACCACTTACAATGTTACAATATTCATACCCGAGATATGTAAGGCCGAGGGCTGCAGAGAAACGGAGGCGCCTCACCTGATGCTAACACCTGTTCATCGACTCACTTGCTGTTGCTCTGGGATCTTCCCTGATCCATCCGTGTCGATCACAAACCGACTGCACGCTGCATCCTTCCACTGCAGCAGCAGGGGCGAGAGGCCCAACGTGTAGTGCGAATGCCTGGGAGGGAGGGGGAAAGGAGAGAGTTGGGGAGGGAGGGAGATATAAATGGAGGGGCAAAGTGGGGAGAGAACCGACTGCACGCTGCATCCTTCCACCGCAGCAGCAGGGGTGAGAGGCCCAGCGTGTAGTGTGAATGCCTGAGAGGGAGAAAGCATCGGGGTAGTTCGTAAGGGAGGGAGGGATGAATGGTGGGGCAAAGTGGGGAGCGAACCGACTGCACGCTGCATGCTTCCACTACAGCACCAGGGGTGAGAGGCCCAACGTGTAGTGCGAATGTCTGGGAGGGAGGAGGAATGGGGGGCATTGGGCAATGATGGGAGGGAGATTCAAGTGGTGGTTCGAAGAGGGGCGCGAACCGACTGCACGCTGCATCCTGTCACTTCAGCACCAAAGGCGAGAAGTGCTGCAACGTGTAGTGCTGGCGAGCGGAGGTCCCAATGCGAACACTGGGGACTGCGTGCCCGCTTGCACGTGCTATGGTGAAGTCACACGCGTAAAGCGCGCTGGCGACACGCTGACGGCATCACGACCCCCGTAAGTTCTCCACACGAGGAACACGCACTGGTTCTCCATCGTTGCTTTCAAGCACTTTTTGCCATCGTTGTGTGCTTCTTTTGAGTATATTTTTGAGTTGGCTCGTTTTTTAGTATATTTTCGAGTCGACTCGTTTTTTAGTCTATTTTTGATACTCAAAAATAGCACCAAGGAGAGAAGCCCAACGTGTAGTGCGCATGGCCGGAAGGGACAGATGGGGAATGGAGAAATGAATGGGGGAAGGGGGTGGTTGCGGGAGTGAACAGCAACGCTGCTTCCTGCCATGCCACTGCAGCACCAGAGGTAAGAGGCCCAACGTATAGTGAGAGTGGCTGAAAGGGAAGGAAAATAAGGAAGATTGGGGAATGGAGGGAGAGCGATGAATGGTGGGGCGAAGAGGGGAGCGAACCGACTGAGCGCTGCATCCTTCCACTACAGCAAAATGGGGCCCAACATGTAGTGCGCGTGGCTGGGAGGGAGAAGGAACGGGGGACGTTGGCGAGGGTGGGAGGAATGAATGTGGGGCAACGACGAACCGAATGCATGCTGCATCCCTCCACATGCAACTACACGGGGAAACAAACGAAGCAGCAGGCGGAGGAAGAGGAGTGGCAAGAGGAGGAGCTAGAGGAGCAGCAGCAGAAGGAACGAGTTGGATATCTTACCGGTTGTAGAAGAGCAATCCATCGCGAGTGAACTCCACTTGTGAAGCCGTGGAAACTGAAGCACCATTCACCATTCCATTGGCACTGCCACCAGTCACTGTCGCTGCACTCCCCGTTCCTTCTGCCGCTCCTACACCTGCTCCCTCCACTCCCCCCATCTCCCCCCCTGCCTCCACTGCTCCCCCTGCCTCCCCTGCCCCACCAGCCCCTCCCCCCGCCTCTTGCCACCCGCAGTAAGCAGCCTCCAGCCCTTGGCCATGGCACTCAAAGAAGGGAACGGGGGCGAAGCGAAAGCGGTGGAAGTGGGAGGGCGGGTCGCAGGCGCCGCACTGCGGGAGGTGAGTCTGCAGCCAAAAGAGGCGGAACTCGGCGGTGCAGTCGTAGAGAGAATAGCCGCGCCATGCCATCACGTCTAACACGTAGTATGTGTTATTCGGCTGCCAGGCATAGAGGAGAGGGGAAAGGAGCGAGAAATAGGGGTGGCGGAATCAGGAGTTTGGTTGGATTCAATTGGCGCCGCACTGCGGCAGGAGTGTGTGCAGCCAGAAGAGTCAAAACTCGGCCGAGCAGTCGTAGAGAGAATAGCCACGCCATGCCATCACGTCCAGCACGTAGTATGTGTTATTGGGCTGTTGTGTGGTTGGAAGGGCAAGAGAGTGGGGAGGAGGGAGGGAAAGACATGTAGGGGTGAGCACTGGCGCCGCACTGCGGCAGGTGTGTGTGCAGCCAGAAGAGTCGGAAATCTGCCGTGCAGTCATAAAGAGAATAGCCGTGCCATGCCATCACGTCTATGGCGTAGAGGGTGCTGCTGGGCTGGCAGGCATGGAGGAGCAGAAGGGAGAGTGGAGGGGAGGCGGACGGGGGGTGCAGACGCTCAGTTGACTTTGGCGCCTGACCGGGCTGGTGCATGTGCAAGCAGAAGAGGCGGAACTTAGCTGTGAAATTACATTTCCATGGCATCACGTTCAGCACAGCACGTGCAGCTGGGCTGAAAGGGGCCCTGTTAGGCAGGCGAGAGGAGAAGCGGTGGATGCTTGGACCCTCAACCCCAGATCCAAGGCCCCCAACCTTGAACCCGAAACCACCAAGCTTAACACGAAGTTCTGAGCTCTCACCTCATGAAAGATGCAGTCCAGGATGCAGTAGACGTGCGCACCAGCAGCGATACCAGGAGCCCTGGCCCCGTTGGGTAAATGCGAAGGGAAGCGGTGGAGAATCCGGCCGTTGCGCAGGCGACTCACTGTGGTGCCGTTGGCAGATACCACCAAACAACGCCGCCCGTCCGGCCGTGGCATCACGAACCTGGGAATGCAGCGTGGGGCCAAGGAAAGCGAGAGATTTGACACGAAAAGCATAAAAGCCGATCAAACCTGGGAGAAATTTAGAATTTCGACAAGGGATTTGTACTTTGCGTAAGGGATTCATACTTTAGGTACAGGCTGCCCGAAAAGCAAGTGACCAAGTGAGGTGAGAGAGGGGGAAATAGGGCTGACCAATCAGAGGCGAGTCGAGGCGGGACGTCGACCATCCATTCAGGCAGCATGAGCTGCTGCGAGTACCACTCCCTTGCACCGTCCGATACCCCTCTCTCTGCACCATTTGCACTATCACCTCCCCCTCCTCTCCCTCCTCTCTCCCCTCTTCCTCCTGCTGCTCCTTTCCCTCTTCTCCCCCCAGCCCCCCCACCATGCGGCACAAACAATCCCCTCATCTCCTGCTCAATCCCCACAACGTCCCCACCATCCTCTTCCCCATCCTCCTCCCCATCCATTTCCATACCTTCCCCTCCCGCTTCACGCACCATCCCCAACACCCCCTCCCCGTTACCCGCTTCTCCCAACACAACCTCCTCCTCAGTGACTTCCCCGTCTTTACCATCAAATCTAGCTCCATTAACAGAGGGCTCTGTCATACTTCTCGGAACGTCTGAATTAATGCCGACTGGCTCGATCCTTCTTCCTGAACCGTCGATTCTGAACCCGTCTTGGTCGATCCTCGTCCATTGGCCAGAAGTTTCGTCGAACTCGCAGATCTCTGGAAGGAGCGGGGAAACTTCTCTCGTTTCCGGCGCTGCGGCGGCAGACTCGCGCGCCTCGACCTCGTCAGCGAGAGTCACGGCGCCAGTGGCGGCGAGAGCCACGTGTCGCGCGTGCGACTGGAGATCCCGCCGCGCGGCGCGCTGCCGCTCCAGAGCGAGCTCGCGCCGCCGTTGCTGGTCGGTCGCGCCGTGCCGGCCGGTGGGCTTGTGCGGGCGGACGGGGGACGGCGCGGCGGGATCCGCAGGAGCGGACGCGGAGAACATCGGGGGACTGGCGGATGAAAAAGGTGCGGAGGCGGAAAAAGGGGACGATGCGGGGAAGGCCGCGGAAGGCGGAGGCGGGTTAACTGCCATGGCGGCGAATCTCGAGAATTCCGAGTTCTAAGAGTTTGCTGATCGGCGTTCGCCCGAGCTCGCCAGCGTGCGGTTCAAATGAGAGCACTTGTGTCTTATCGGGTTTTGACGGGGGGAACGGAGAGGGAATGGTGTGCGGCGATGGCTGCCCGTGGCGTCATCGGCAATATTTAGGTCGTCACTGAGGAATTCGAGTCTGAGTCAACGGTCACCTTGAAGCAACTGAACGGTGAGTGATGACGGCAAAAGTTGCACGTCACGGCAGAATCTAGGTGGATCACTACACGAGGAAGGACAGGCAAACGGCCCGATCAGAGTCGTAGGTCGACAAGCCGGCTGATCAAGGCAATCGGCTTGAGCTAGCGAGATCAATGAACGAAGTAGCGGCTGTATGTGTCGCTAGCATGACAGCTCGCAATCGTTAGCTGAGACGGAGGTGGAGAGGACTGAGTGCGAACTTCTAGCTTCTCGAATCTGACTCTGGAGTGTTCAGTACCTGATGCCATAAAATCATTTCCGAAGGATTCACGGAAGGTCGAGTGCGAAACTAAACGGGTGTTCATGGAATTCAGTGTAGCACCCATTTACTGGAGGGTTGAGTGCGACATCTAAAATGTCAGGACGCCAAATTCGGATTTATATAGAAGTCGAGTGCGCATGCGCTGATGCTGAACACTGGACATTCCAGATCAACTTTGCTGGATACCAGAATCTGTTTCGCGGATTCAGACGGTTTAGCTAAGTATGGAACACACGAGGCCGAAATAAGAGCGAAATATGAAGGGTTGATCCGAACCAGGAACGCGCCATGCTATATAGACCCCAGTCCCCTTCACAGTTCACAGTTGGTTTTATGACGCGGATACGGATACCCACGGTATGGAAACCTCTCCCCTGATCACGACAATCCTCATTTCACTTGCCAGGGAATCAAGTATATGCAGGATTGCGTAAGGTGGGTTCCTCATAGTCGTAATTAATACGCAAACTGCTGGTAACCGATCTCGTAACCCTCGGGTGCGGCTGAGCGCGCTCTGCCATTCCAAACACTGGAAGCTGCCGCTGCGACCCCCTTCACAAGAACCCAATTTCCCCCTCGGGATGTACGGCGTTTTGAAATTATCCTCGTTATAATAGCGTCACCTTCGTTTCTGTCGTGACTCGCACATTCATCCGCACGTTTCAGCCGCTTGTTGCTGTCTCCGCGCCCTCTCCTCCTGCAGATTGCGACATCTGTCACGACTCGCGTAGTAACCAGTAGTACGGTATATCGCTACTAAGGACGTACCCAGCGACGTCTTGCTGCCTCCGCGTTCCGCTCTAATTTTGAGACTTCTGCCATGACTCGCGGATTATCCCGCAGACCGTTACTCAGGGAAACCCGTACCAGACCGTTATAAGGACGTCAACCAGAGCTTGTTGCTGTCTCCGCAATCTCTCGTGTAGTTTCGAGACGTCTGTCATGACTCGCGGATTGATCCGTAGACTATTACTCAGGGAAACCCGTGTTAGATCGTTGTAAGGACGTTCCCCAGCGTCCTGTCGCCGCGCTCTCTCCTGTAGTTTTGAGACGTTTGTCATGACTCGCGGATTGATTTATAAATCGTTGCTACGAAAAGTCGTTCCCCATCCACTTGTTGCTTTCTCGCCGACGCTCGCTCCGCCTCTTCTCGTTCTCCTCACGCTCGCCCTCGCCGTTTTCGCACAGCAGGTCAGAGCAATTTCTCGTTAATGACACCTCGGTTCTGTATCTCCGCTCGTGGTTGACTTCTTTATTGTGTCACTTAAAACCGGGGTGCACATTCAGCTGAATGTGCATCAAAGGTTATCCCTTGACTGAGTGGGTTACGAGGTGTGCTTTCAACCCCTTCAAGTCGAAATTCGTTTCCCCCCTCCCCCGCAATTTCGTTTCCCCACGCCCCCGCAATTTCATTTCCCCCTCCCCGTCGAAATTCGTTTCCCCCCTCCCCCGCAATTTTGTTTCCCCCCTCCCCCGCAATTTCGTTTCCCCCCCCTCCCGCCAATCTGTTTCATCCCTCCCGCCATTCGGTTTCACCCACTCCCGCCATTTCACCCCCTCCCGCCACCTACGAAATGCCCGAAGCTCTAGCGGAATCATTTTTTTGTCGCCCCTCGTGAGCCAATCACTGTTTTTCTCCAAACCCCCTTCCCAACATCTCAAGCCGAACCGCGTTGAATGTGCACCCTGGTTTTAATAGCGCGTGCATGCACACAATTTGCATACAGACATCCGGCATTGCTCAGCACGCCACAGTTATGCTCGTCGTCTTCGTAATCCCATCCTTTTCCACCTGGATACCCAAAATAATCATACTCGTTATAATCATACCTCTGCAAATCCCATTCATTCTTACAAATCATTAGCATAGAATCTTTTTTTTTTTCATCTTCTGACCACCCTGTTATCATCGGCAGCCATTTACAGAGAGCCCAGCACCATCCGACCCTTCACTTGTGCAACTGGACTCAGAGCCCCCGGGTGTGACTGTAGGGAGAGTGATTCAACTGGAGCGAGAGCTAGCTGCAGCATCTGCCGCTTCTCCTACCCTGCCTCCTTCCGCCCCAGCCTCGTCAGCATCATCCGAACCTAATACCGAACCAAACTCGTCAAACGCAGCACAGGCGGTGATTGAGGCTCCAGTGCAGCATGACGGTACTACCAGCCAGGTCCCCAACAGCAATAGCAGCAGCAGTGGCAGCAATACTAGCACCAGCACCAGCAGCAGCAGCAGCCAATCAGCAACTTCCGGCTCGGACCCTAGCGTACGAGTTGATTGGTGCGTGCTCCTTCTGTTCTTCCACCTCTCGCTTTCGCATTTGTCCCTCCTCGTCACCCTTTTGGCCGATGCTTGGCCAGGATGCGGCGGTTCTATTCGTGGTCCTGGGAGGGGGGTTCTCTGATGGGATATTACCGTGCCCTCTCTTTCCCCTGACCCATCCTGCTTCCCCTTCACAACCCACTCTTACGGGCGAGGTTCCAACCACATTCCTCCTCTCCGCCTCATTCCCTTCCCCTCATCATCCGCCCTCCCAGCGGTCGCCAGGTATCAAAGGAGCAGCGACATCAGGAGCTCACGAGCGCAAGGGAGGATGGCAGTTGTCCTTTCCTTTGTTACTAACCCATCCTTCCCCTCTCCTCCCCCCCTCTCCAATCCCCTCCTCATCCCATCGCCCTCCCAGGGGTCGCCAGGTGGCAAAGGAGCAGCAACAGCAGGAGCTCACGAGAGCGAGGGAGGAGGACAGTCGTCCTTTCGTTTCGCCCTGACCCATGCTTCCCCTCTCCCCCCTCCCATTCCTCTCCTCGTCCCCTCTCCATCCCAGGGGTCGCCAGGTGACAAAGCAGCAGCGGCAGCAGGAGCTCACGAGAGCAAAGGAGGCGGGGCGATGCTCGGCCAAGTTGGGGTTGTTCAACTCGTGGTCGTGGGAGGGGGGCTTCGCGGACGGGTTCCTAGCGTGGGAGCCGCAGCCTGATAAATACATTCTCATGGACTGCCAGCGGAATCAGGTGAGTGTGAGAGCGGAGAGAGCGAGAGAGTGGAGGGAGGACAAGGGGAGGTAGGGTCCTTTGAAGGGCTTTCTAGCGTGGGATAGGGTGAGGGGCTAGAGAGAGAGGGAGGAGGGACAGTGCTCAGCCAAGATGGGTTCCTAGCGTGGGAGCCACAGCCTGATAAATACACTCTCATGGACTGCCAATGCAACCAGGTGCGTGTGAGGGGTGGGAGAGAGCAAGGGCGGAGGAAGGTGCACGGGCAGAGGGGGGGGACTGTTCAACTCGTGGCGGCTTCTCTGACGGGTTTCTAGCGTGGGAGCCGCACCGCAGCCGGATAAATACATTCTCATGGACTGCCAGCGCAACCAGGTGGGTGTGTGTGAGAAGCGGGGGAGCAAGGGAGGGGGGCGGTGCTCAAACTAGATACGGCTGTTCAACTCGTGGCCCTGCGAGGGGGGCTTCTCTTCTCTGAGGGGTTCCTTCCTGGCGTGGGAGCCACAGCCTGACAAAGACTTTCTTCACCGCATGCTGCAGGGATTTTTTGAGAATTCTAAAAAAAAAAACTCTGAGGGGTTCCTGGCGTGGGAGCCACAGCACAGCGTGACAAAGGATTCCTCACGAGGTGACTTTTGAGTCGACTCAAAAGTCATCTGGCGGGGGAGGCACAGCCTGACAAATGTACATTCTTTACCGCGCGCTTGTTGATCTGGTCTGAAGCTTTGAGACGTCTCAGAACTTGATGGGTTCCTGGCGGGGGAGGGAGCCACACCACAGCCTGACAAAGACTTTCTGTACCGCACGCTTGTTCATCTGGTCCGTCTGAAGCCTACCCATTCCTTAGCCACTCACTCCCCCACCAACTCTCCGAAATCCCTAAGGTTTTTAACCCCGTTCGCTGCATTCGCAACTACCTAGTCGTGGCGGGTGGTTCTCTCAACCGCACACTCGTGGATCTGGCTTCAACCACACTGAGCCGCCCGCCTAACCCTCTCTCCCCTCTCCCTCCTCGCCCCCGCCACCCTTTATCAGGTGTCCAACCGCATTCGCTGCATCCGCAACTACCTCATCGTGGCAGGGGGGTTCTCAACCGCACACTTAGTCCTGGCTTGCGGCAATCCGAATCTCCTTCATCCTCTCCCCTGTCAGGTGTCCAACTGCATTCGCTGCATTCGAAACTACCTCATAGTGGCTTTGGTTCTCAACCGCACGCTCGTTGATCTACCTTCATGCACACCCAGTCTCCTTACCCCTCCCCCTCTCTCCTCTTCTCCCTTCCCCCCGCCCCCTTTCCACACCTCCTATCAGATATCCAACCGCATTCGCTGTATCCGCAACTACCTCATCGCCGCGGGTGTTCTCAACCGCACACTCATGGATTTGGCTCCAACCAAGCACATCCAGTCCCCTCCCTCCTGCTTGTCCCCTTCAGCACCGCTTTTGAGTCGACTCAAAAGTCACCTCGGTGTTCTCAACCGCACACTCATGGATTTGGCTCCAAGCAAGCACATCCAGTCCCCTCCCTCCTGCTTGTCCCCTTCACCACCGCTTTTGAGTCGACTCAAAAGCCACCTCGGTGTTCTCAACCGCACACTCATGGATTTGGCTCCAAGCAAGCACATCCAGTCCCCTCCCTCCTGCTTGTCCCCTTCACCACCGCTTTTGAGTCGACTCAAAAGTCACCTCGGTGTTCTCAACCGCACACTCATGGATTTGGCTCCAAGCAAGCACATCCAGTCCCCTCCCTCCTGCTTGTCCCCTTCACCACCGCTTTTGAGTCGACTCAAAAGTCATCTCGGTGTTCTCAACCGCACACTCATGGATTTGGCTCCAAGCAAGCACATCCAGTCCCCTCCCTCCTGCTTGTCCCCTTCACCACCGCTTTTGAGTCGACTCAAAAGTCACCTCGGTGTTCTCAACCGCACACTCATGGATTTGGCTCCAAGCAAGCACATCCAGTCCCCTCCCTCCTGCTTGTCCCCTTCACCACTGCTGCCCCCAACTTCTGTCAGGTGTCCAACCGCATTCGCTGCATTGGAAACTACCTAATCGTGGCGGGGGTTCTCAACCGCACGCTTGTTGACTTGCAGTGATGTACAACCAGTCCCCTCCGTCCCCCCTTCCCCCCTCCCCTCTTCTCCCCTCTTCTCCCTCCCAACCACCCTCTATCAGGTGTCCAATCGCATTCGCTGCATCAGAAACTACCTCATCATCGCAGGCGCTCTCAACCGCACGCTGGTCGCGCTGTTCCGGCCGTCGGAAGTGAACGGCAGCTACGACTGGTCCAGGCCTCAGGCAATCATAATCCCCTCCACCCACTCTCCCCTGTCAGGTGTCCAACCGCATTCGCTGCATCCGCAACTACCTCATAGTGGCGGGCGTTCTCAACCGCACGCTGGTGGCGCCGTTCCGGCCGGCCGAAGTGAACGGCAGCTACGACCGGCGCGTGTTCTTCGACCTGACCCACGTGCACCGCTGCTACGGGCCGCGCACCGTCATCACCCTCGATGAGCTTCTGGCAGAGAGAAGAGCAGCGAGGAGCGGCAATGGCAGCAGTGGCAATGACAGCAGCACAGAAGCAGATATAATAATAACCCAGGTGGTCTGCCCATTCACCAACTGCTACTTCCAACCAGGATGGGGCCTTCCCACAGTCCTCCCCACTCTGGGAGGCGTCTCATACGAGGCTTTAACTTTCACAGATGCTAACTTGCCTCCGGATCACTCGATCAACATCACAGATATCAAGAAGATCGGGGATTTGATCTTCCCGTCGGCTGATGTGATTGCGATGGGGGATCTGGGTGCGTCGCTGTTTGATGATGCTTTTCACAAGGAGATTGACGTGCCGTTTTTTCGACGCCCGGGCTGCCCGAATAAACTGGCGATTCAGCCCCACCCGGCGATCTTTGAAGCTGCCAGCCGGTTTGTATCGGATGTGATTCTAAAGGGGATGAATAGCAGTGCAGCAGAGAGCAGCAGGGGAGGGGAGGAGCAGGGCAACAACACAGCAGCTGAGGACACGCTACCATCAGCCATTGCTGCTGCCGGTGGGAATACCACCACTACTAGTACCAGCGGTAGCAGTGGTAAGAATGCGGGGAAACAGTATCGCTACATGGCGATTCACTGGCGGCGAAAGGACCTGGTTACCAGCTTTCAGGACTCAGGCTCGCACCTCACAATCAACCGCACCGCCAGATGCATCGCCGACCGCATGGCAAGATCCGGCAATCTCAGCACCGTTTTCCTAGCCACTGACGCCGAACCTGCTGAGGTGGCGGAATTGACCGGAGCAGTTTTGTCCCTCAGGCCGGACCTGCGGCTGATGCAGCTTTCGCCGAACCTGGACGCGCAGGCTTGGGCGCAGGTGCTGCTGCCGTACCGGTTTGAGCATGCGGGGGTGGTGCGGGTGACGTTAGACAAGGCGGTGTGTGCGCTAGCAGACGTGTTTCTTGGGACTGCTGCGTCGTCTTTTTCTGAGGACATTCAGCGAATCCGGACGGGGTTGAGAGTGGCCACATGTGAAGACCAGATGTTGTGCGAAGACGAGCTCTAGAAATGCTTTTATTCTTACCTTATGGTAGCTAGGAGAACGTCATCGAGGAGAATGGCAGCCATGGAGTACAGGGCTTAGAATCAGCTAGGTTGGGAGCCGTCTTTTCATTACAAACAAGCTACGACCATTTCTGGCGTACATGGATTGGTGAGGTGAGCCAAATACTGGTACCCGTATGATGGACGTCCCTACCGTACCATGCCCGGGTTTCTCTGAGACTTACGCACTAGATTGGTCATGGGACGGAGGAACCATCAGGACCGAATTTCTTGCATAATTAACAACCAATTACTGCAATAACATGCGAACTCTTCTACAACCCTAACCTGAGAGAACAGTGTCAGGGTTGGAAATGAAAAGCATGACATTATTAGCTTCTCACACCACCAGGACATTTGTAGTACCGTATCTGCAACAGTACGTGAGTTATTTGCAGATACTGTAGGTAGTATAAGTGTGTTACATTATTTCAAGGGTACACCCGTTGATGCCTTGCCACAGCTGCCAGCCGGCACCACACCAGTGCCCGCTGCCCAGTTAGTTCGAGTCAACATGGGTCAACCCAGGTCAACAGAAGTCGCAGGTCAACCAAAGTCAAACGGCAGTGAAGAGGCCTGCGCCATGTGACTCATCTCCTGGCAGCATTGTTTCGGGCGGCGACTGCTTTGCCACTGCTGCCACCATCCCATCCCACCAGTGCCAAGTCAACTCGAGTCCACCCAAGTCAATGAAGGTCAATCAGCAGGGTACATGTAACGGCAGGGATGAGTGCCTGGCCGATTCACACATCCATGGAGCCTGAGCCACGTCACTCATCTCCGGTCGGTCCTCCTTGTGCCGGCCGGCATGGTGGGTCAACCCTAGTCAACGCAAGTCAACCAGCAGTCAAGAGGCACATCCGTCAGCGCCTCCTCATCTCTGGCTGCTCCTCCTCCTTCCGGGCTCTTCTGACACGACACACTGCTTCGTCACGGCTTCCAGCATCCCATCCCACCAGTGCCGAGTCAACCAAAGTCAACCCAAGTCAATCAGCGAGAGGCACGGACATGAGTGCCTGTGCCACGTCACTCATCTCCGGCCGGTCCTCCTTGTGCCGGGCGGAGCATTGCTTCGCCACGGCTGCCAGCATTTCACCCCACCAGTGCCATGCCATGTCAACAAAAGTCAACACAAGTCCACCAAAGTCAATCAGCGAGAGGCACGGACATGAGTGCCTGTGCCACGTCACTCATCTCCGGCCGATCCTCCTTGTGCCGGGCGGAGCATTGCTTCGCCACGGCTGCCAGCATTTCACCCCACCAGTGCCATGCCATGTCAACAAAAGTCAACACAAGTCCACCAAAGTCAATCAGCGAGAGGCACGGACATGAGTGCCTGTGCCACGTCACTCATCTCCGGCCGATCCTCCTTGTGCCGGGCGGAGCACTGCTTTGCCACGGCTGCCAGCATCTTGGCGCCCCGGCGGGAGAACCTGCCCTGCAGGTTCGGGTCGACCCAAGCCTCGGGTTCGGTGATGTTGGGGTACAGGTGCGGCCCCATCCACGCCACTAGCTTCACGTTTCCCTCCTTGGAAACAGCGTCTCGGCCTGTGAGCATCTGTGGTGGTTGTGGGTGTAGGGACACATTCGGAGGAGGGAAGGGTCTAGTGGAGCCATTTTCGCTGAATTGTTTTTAGAATTCTCAAAAAACAAATTGAGTATTCTCAAGTGCCTACCCCCCACATGCAACCAACAGCCATACCGTACCTGTAGCAATATGACTCCAAGCGAGTAGACATCGATCTTATCCTTCAGACACCCCGTCTCCATGTATTCAGGGTCCAGGTACCCCATGGTGCCCATCACACTCAATCTCTTATGCAAGCACCCCCTGGAATGGACACACACACATACCTGTAGCAGGATAACACCCAATGAGTACACGTCGCTCTTGTCTCGCAAGCAACCAGTCTCCATGTATTCAGGGTCCAGGTACCCCATGGTGCCCATCACTCGCGTCGAGATGTGGCTCACACTGCTGGCTGACTGCTTCGCCATGCCAAAGTCTGTAATGCGTGCTTGCATGTCCTGGGGGTTGGGGGGAGAGAGGGCGGGGAGAAGGAACACACAGGCAAGGTGGGAGGTGTGTGCTGCACTGTTTGTGTGGCTCACACTGCTGGCCGACTGCTTCGCCATGCCGAAATCCGTGATGCGGTGAATGGGGAACACAAGATGGACAGCTTGAGGTCCCGGTGAATGACCTGGTTTTCGTGCAGATGCAGCACAGCAGCCCCTGCGCTGCTCCCTCCCTGCCATGGTTGAATTGAATACCTGCTCCAATGCCACACTGTACTGTACGGCTTCGAATCCCCACCTGATCCAAAGAATGTCGGAGGGCTTTAAGTCGCGGTGAATGACCTTGTTCTCGTGCAGATGCAGCAGCCCCTGTGCTGCTCCCTGCGCCGCTCTCCCTCTCTGGCATGGTATATCTCATCTCAGGCGAATTGAGTTCCTACCTGATCCAATAAGATGTTGGAGGGCTTTAAGTCGCGGTGAATGACTTTGTTCTCGTGCAGATGCAGCAGCCCCTGCGCTGCTCCCTGCGCTATCCGCACACGCGTGGGCCAGTCAATAATGTCGACCTCTCGCCCTGCATGCATGCACGAGAGGAGATGGGAGCACGAGGGGGAAGGGCCAATGAGACAGGTGCCTTTTCAGCTATTCGCACGCGCGTGGGCCAGTCAATAATGTCGACCTCCCGCCCTGCATGCATGCACGAGAGGAGATAGGAGGAGGACGAGGGGGGGGGAGCTCATGAGACACGTGTCCTTTCACCTATCCGCACCCGTGTGGGCCAGTCAATAATGTCGACCTCTCGCCCTGCATGCATGCACGAGAGGAGATGGGAGCACGAGGGGGAAGGGCCAATGAGACAGGTGCCTTTTCAGCTATTCGCACGCGCGTGGGCCAGTCAATAATGTCGACCTCCCGCCCTGCATGCATGCACGAGAGGAGATAGGAGGAGGACGAGGGGGGGGGGGGGGGGGGGGGGGGAGCTCATGAGACACGTGTCCTTTCACCTATCCGCACCCGTGTGGGCCAGTCAATAATGTCGACCTCCCGCCCTGCATGCAACACAAGGGGTGAGTGAGAGAGAGGTGTAAACGAGAATGAGCCAGTCAATGGTCCAGGCTGCCATTGGCCGGAGGTATGGTGTAATGGCTGCCATTGGCCCATACACCAGCAGCGCTCACCAGTATGTGTGTGTGGAGGCGTGTGGTTCATGTGTGCACCAGTGCATGCACTGTCATTAGGGTACAGGTAGGCATGACACTCACGGGGGAACAATCGGTCGTCCAGGCTACCATTGGGGCAGAGCCCATACACCAGCAGCAGCGCCTCGCCACAGGTGTGTGTCGCATCATGCAGTGCTATGCTCGCATGCAGTTGACAGAAGCTCACTCACGGGGGAAGAGCCGGTCGTCCAGGCTGCCGTTGGGGCACAGCCCGTACACCAGCAGCGCCTCGCCCTTGGTGTGTGTGCATACAGTGCATGTGCGCATGTGCGCAAAGCAGTGCACTCACGGGGAAATAACCGGTCGTCCAGGCTGCCATTTGGGCACAGCCCATACACGAGCAACGCCTCGCCCTTCTCCGCACAGTAGCCTATGAGCTCGACCAGATTCGGGTGATGCAGCTTCCTCAATAGCACTATCTCCGCCTGCAAGGGAGAGCACGAGAAGGAACAGAGAGCAGGAGCAGGTGGCTTGAGGGCCAACGAGTGAGCGGCACAGCCCAGCCCATACACCAGCAGCGCCTCGCCCTTCTCGGCACAGTAGCCTATCAGCTCGACCAGATTCGGGTGGTGCAGCTTCCTCAGCAGCACTATCTCCGCCTGTGGGGGGGGAGCGAAGGGGAAGATGATAGAAAGTGGAGCGGAGGGGTGAGTGAGTGAGTGACAACCAGCTCTACCAGGCTAAGGTGGTGTGGAGGCTTAGCCTGGCTGAGGAAGCTACACCACCCCTCGATCCGTCCATCCCATCTGCTTCCTTAGAATCAAAATCCTCGCCTGGTGGGGCAGAGGACTTTTGAGGCGCCTCAAAACCCTGAATCACAGTCCTCGCCTGGTGGGGCAGAGGACTTTTGAGGCGCCTCAAAACCCTGAATCACAGTCCTCGCCTGGTGGGGCAGAGGAAGCAGATGGGACGGACGGATCGAGAGCCATCCGCCACCTGCCCTTCTCACCTTCCCCATCAGAGTCCGCAAATGCACCTCCCCCGTGCCCTATAGGTGCCCTATAGGTGCCCGGCCTAATCCTACGGCCAGCACAACACAATCCCACTCACCAGCCATTCGTCAAGCCCCTGAGAGCTCTCCGGATTCAACTTTTTCACCGCCACTTCCACCACCTCGTTGCTCCCCTTCCCGCCCAGCTTCCCTACAGCTACTCGGGCACCGAAACCAGGCCACGTTCACTCACCAGCCATTCATCCAACCCTTGTGAGCTCTCCGGGTTGAGTTTCTTGACTGCAACTTCCACCACCTCCCTGCTCTCCTTCCCGCCCAGCTTCCCCAGATACACCTCCCCGAAGCTGCCCCGCCCCAGCACCGCCTTCTTGCTAAAAGACGACGTCGCCGTCCGCAGCTCGTGCAGCCGGAACTTGCGGGCCGTGCCCCGCCCGTCTGACGACATCGACTGGGCGGCAGAGAGGCCGGCAGAGTTGGTGGAGGTGGCATCTGAGGTGGGAGGGAAGGGGGAGAAAGAGGGGAAAAAAAAGCGAGGTTGAGGGCAGGAAAAGGGTTGCAGAGTTGGCGGAGGTGGCATCTGAGGTGGGGAAGCGGAAGGGGCGAAAGAGGGCAGCAGAGTTGGTTGGTGCAGTGGAGGTGGGGTCTGAGGTGGGAGGGAATGGGGGGAAAGGGGGGGAACAAGGCGGCAGAGTTGGTTGGTGGGAGTGGGGTCTGAGGCTGAGCGTCCGTCCTGCCTCGAGGTGGGTGATTTGGTTGGTTTTAAGTTCTAACCTAGGGTTCCCTGTGAAGACACATGTTGGCAGGCACGGGGGGCAGAGAGGGGAAGCGGCAGCAAAGGGTGCGGGAAGAAGGCAGGCGGCGGAGCTGGTGGGAGTGGGGTCTGAGGCTGGGCATCCCTCCTGCCTCCAGGTGGGTGGTTGGTTTGGGTGGTTCTAACCTAGGGTTCCCCGTGAAGACACATGTTGGCAGGCAAGGGGGGCAGAGGGGGGAGGGGGCAGCAAAGGGTGGGGGAAGGGTGGGGAAGGGAAGGGCCAGGAAAGGGGCGGGAAGGGGGCTCCGCCTGCTGTCAGAACACACAGGGGGGGAACACGCATCAGCCCTCCGTACCTACTGGTGCTGAGCACTGGAAAAGAACAGTCAGGCATTCGTACCTGCTGTGCCACCATCTGCGTTCCCCACAGGCACACTCTGCGGTGCTGCCAACCCTCCACCTCCGCCGTACCCATCCCCTCCTTCCCCTCTCCCATTCCCCCTCCCTACAGCCCCCCCCTGCCTCTCCGCTCCCCGTCCCCACCCTCCTTCCCCTCCCTCCCCTCCGCCCCCTCTCCCCCCGCCGCTAGACACGGCCTTCGCTCCCCCAACCCCGCTCCCCACCCTTTTCCCCCTCCCCGCTCCCCTTCTGAACTTCCCCCCTCCGCCCGCCACCCCTCCGCCCCCTGCTCCGTTACCCTCCGCCTCGCTCTCATCGCCAGCTTCCCTCGGCGTTCGTGGCGAAAACCCCGTCGCGTAACGCTGGTTACCACCAGGGCTGGAGGCGACGGAATGAGCGCGGGATCTAGGGGTGGTGGATGTGACGTTACCGAAGGGCGAACTGGGCGCGCTCTCTGCAATCACCTCCACCGATAAGCACCCGCCCATTCCTTCTCCGGTGCGCGCCGGGACAATATGACCGTTAGAGAAGCCACTGTTAGGTCAAACCGCCGACCCCGCCGCCGCGCCGCGCCGCCGCCGCTGCTCCTTCTGCGTCTGTTGCTGCTGCTGTTGCTCCTAGCGAGCCTAGACTGGACAGACGGAGCGGGAACGGAGGCTGGAAAGGCTCGACCTGCTGACTGATAGGAGACGCGGCTCGCTCGTTAAACTAGCTATCGCTAGTAGATTATCGAGAAGTGAACTAATGACACGGCTTTTGAACACGCGGCATGATCAGTCGGCGTTGGAAGCGAACTCCGGTACGCCATAGGGGGGCCATTATTATGCGGACCCATGAACCACGTTGTGGGCCTATCAGTCGGCGAACCAATTAGAATGCGAAACAAGTTACCGAAGTCGTCGAACCGTAGGTCTTTCGCTTAGTCCACGATAATGCGGCCTATAATGTCACATATACGAAAGCAGTCATGTTCGAAAATTCCCTAAGGGACTGACAAGCGACGATTCTTAATCACTCAACCACGCCTCCTGGAGGTTGTAATACTAACGAGAGGGTCATTGAGAATAATGGTATGAAAGTGCAGCGGTCTTAGCAGCGCTACCACAAGCTCTGTCAGAAATGAGGTTCACGAGAATAGGGGGTATGAATGAGTACGGATTTTCGAGCGAAAAGAAAACGCTTCGAAGGTAAGCTTGGCTGTAAGCGAGTCACCCTGAGTTCTGTCGCTGCGCAGACTGCGCACAAGTTGATAGCTCTGGACGTGCGAAACGAAACAGACGAGTCTTACGCTTCCGCAATGGACAAGGGAATTATTACGTAGGGGTCAGTATGGGGCAACGAGATAAGTCGTAATTCTTCTCTCGTGCAGTGCTCGCTTTTGCTGATCGCGTGCTTTCCGTGATGCGTGGAAAATAAAAGGTTGCGAGACCACTACTAAATCAGCAAAAGAGTTTTAGTGGGTTCAGTGCGTTTCCGCAATGTTTCGCAGGAGTGGTCTTCAACCATCCACGACTAGCACACCAGAAGCACAAAACACAACCTCTGTTTCTCCAGGAGGACCAGTTACCGCTCTGAACCGTACGGAAATGTACTCTACTGTTATGTACTGAACAGAAAGACCGTGGTGTCAGTGCCGCCCACCACTACTCCCTGGGCGGAGTGGAGTGGAGTCACCCGCCAGGCACTTGACGTGCACCTGTTCGCCACATTCGCCAAAGCCGGCAAGTGACAGCACGCGGATTTCACCTGGCTGGGCGTGTAACACGATGATACACTTTTAAAAACCATTCGCCTGAATCTGTATATGTAAACCATAAACACCATCACAGTGAAGTACCAAGTCATCTTACAACGGAGAACATTCGGGAAACCCTGCTTGCGTAAAACCCGTAACGACTACGACCAATTAGAGATCTTCGTTTTCGCGTGTAACCCAAGCCACCCATCAAGCGAGTCCACTTGGTCCATGCTGAGTCAATGCGGACAACATCCACGTCAAACCTCTGCCAGGCGCAATCTCGAGATTGCAGACGAAGAAGTAACTCATCCAACATTCGCCAGCAGCTGAAAAATCGCGGAGCAGTAACCTTCGTGCAAATTGTCGCACATCGTAAATGCCAGGGGCACGGCTGTACGATTTTTTTCGGACTATTCTTCTGATGGTTGGAGAAGTAGCAGAGTAGCAACAGCGGCGCGTCAGACGAAGTATAAGAGCCTACTAACTCGTGGGAACTGAAGCATCAGTGTGTCACTCGTTGACTCCCTGCCAGCATGTAAGGCCAGCACGATACGCATTGCCAAAAACTCATTATTCACCAGTTCTTTATTATTTGCCTCTCGCGCGTAGCATTTTTGGGCTTGCTCAAAAAACAACATTCGCGCCGGAACGCTGAAAGCCATGGCTCGTCAACAGCGCCTCGTTCGTTCATGCGACGCCACCGGATTTCCCCGCACCCTCCGCCGTGTGAGACGAATACGAAGCGCCGCAGTCGCCGGCCAGACTGGATCCTCCACAATCCCCACGGGAGACGGGGCGGAGCGGCAGACACGGCGCGAATGGCGGCGGAAGAAGCGGGTTAGTGGCGGCCCCGGTGACTCCAAACTTCCACTGCATCACGATTCATGCAAGGTACGCGACGGAAACGGCGGAATTAGCAGCGGAGGGGAGAGAAGCGCACATTCAGACAACGGCGGCTGCGGCCGTATCGACGGGGCAGACGTGGAGCCGAGCGGTGCGTCCGACGATCTGGGAGGCGGCCCAGCCTCGGAATCCGATCCAGCTGGTGGAGAATCAAATCCCGCATCAAATCCTAGAAGTGGAGGAAAATCAAATCCTTCAAAGCGCTGCACCGACTGTTGCATCTGGAGCGGGTGTTCGAGCTCACGCCCCTGCTGTAGCGGCTGTAGCGCCGGCTGTAGTGTCTCCCCTACGCGGTCCTCCCCAAGGAGAAGCTACTTCCCCATCCAACTCGCGCGCTACAGATGTGCTAACTTCCTTATCAATAAGGGAAGCTACATCCGCCGTTTCTGCTACACTCGCCTCTGGTGCTACTACAACCAACGCCGACGCTAGGTCCGTCCCTCATGCTACATCCGCGACTGCTGCTACAGCCACCCCTCGTGCTACAGCCGCAGCAGCATCACATGCTGACTTCATCATTCGCGCCGTGGCGCCATCCGCTGGTGTCGCCCTCTGGGAGGCTCTCAGACGCGCTACAGATGCTGCTGCCACGGCTGTAGCCTCCCTGCACACGTGGCAAGCGGAGGACTGCGCTGACGTGGACGAGGGCTGCAGCAGAGATTTCTGGGCGGCGGTTGCGGCGGATGATGGAGGAGATGAAGAGGATTGGATCTTGGCCGTTGATTCTCTTGGATTATGGTGGCTATTCGGGCACTCGGGTACCAACATCGGCGACAACGAGGCATCGACTTTATCAGAGGAAGAAATCTCCAACGTGAATTTGAACAAGGAATCTAATCTGGAGATTCCAGGCAATGGCACTGATGAGGAGGGTGTGATAGTAGCTGAAGCAGCTGGGACTGAGCAGCTGGAGCAGCTGGAGCAGCGGGGACAGCAGGATGGCTGCACTTCTGACATGCACAGAGAAGAGGGACCCGAAGGGTGCTATGCTGTGCGTGTGTTTGTGTCGGAGTTTGAAGCCCGAGCGCCTTTCCTGCACTTCTCTCTCTCGGAACATGCTGCACGGGTCGCCTCCTCACCTAATGCGGGCGGCGCTTCCGTTATTTCCGAGGTGAGTCCTTCTTTGCAATCTTATGTGCGTCACTCGCTGTCTCGTGCATTTTTTACCAGTTAATAATAGTATTACCCTCTCCCGTCTATTCACCTCCTCTGCAGTCACTTTCTGTGGAGTATTTTGTGCGTCACTTCGGCGCTACTGACATTATTTCAGAGATGGAGGTAAGAAACGCGTATTCTGTTTCCTGCTTTTCCCTCTCTGTCTCGCTTCCAAAACTGATACAGAGCATGTGCTGGTTTTATGTTATTTCAGATCAAGTACTGCGACAGCAACTGGAAGAAGGTGGATTACATCTGCAGCTTGTTTGGGCAGCGCTTTGGAGTGTCGGTCACTCGAGCCATGATGTACCCCGACCCCGCTCTCTTCGACTGCCACCGCGCTCGCGCCCTGCTCAGAAAGAAGCTGCATGGCCTGGTAAGTGCAAAGCAATACAGCTAGGTTTTTTTTTAAATAATTTTCATTTTTTTAGCACCGTGTGTGCAGCTTCCAATTTTATCCTCGTCCCTTGCAGCTGATTCATTTGTGCTGGTTTTGTGGTGTGCAGGTGGTGGCGTGGTCGGGCGTATCGCCCATGCACTGCTTCTCTCGAGCCATTCTCCACGTTTGGTGCGAGACTGCGCACATAGCCAACCTTTTGCAAGACGCATTTCCAGGCAAGAACTGTAAAAAACACACGATCTTTCTTTGATTGTATTTCTCTTTCCCCGTCACTTATGAGCTGTTGCTTATCCTCTTCTGCTCTGCTGTATGTGATAAATGCAGAGGTTTCAAGCTCCTTGGATATGCAAGAAGATGTGCTCATGGTGCTGACTGTAGCCGAAGGACACCAAGGCTGGCCTATCTTCTACGAGTCCTTGTATAAGGTATCTGAAAGGTCAAGGGATGGAGGGGAACGGGGTTTGTGGGTGCACCATGCTCAGCACCCTTGGTCGGGGATAAGCATGAAGCCTTGTATCAGGTCTATATAAGTAGCGTGTATATATATTTTCTGTTTGAACCTAACACTAGTTTGATTGGTTGTGCAGCGAGGTGTGCAAGAGGTCCAATAATGCAGTAGGAATATCTAGTAGGCATATTCCCTGTTTCTACCACAATGTAGGTGGAGTTTTCTTTTTGTGTCATTAACAAGCACATTGCGTCATGCAGTATTGAGTTCTTGCCCTGCTTGCTCAACCACACACGATTCCACGTCTATTCTAATGCACCTGACGTCCTCTCTTACACAGTCAGCATCACATTGACCAATTGCCATGCCGTTGTCCATCAGTACCCCAGTCACATTTGCAAAATCATTGCCAATGAGGGCGCAACGCTTTGGCGCGCTGCGGTGATTTATTCCCTATCGTTGCTCGAGAGGCAGATGCTCCAGCTCCAAATCTAGTCCCAGTGCGCCCACGTCAAGCATCTTCACAAAAACTCGTGCCGAACATTGCTAGCGCATGGGACCACGGCGCAACGTTCTGTACCACTGGAATTCCTTGTGAAACATTTGAAAATTGTGGAGGCTCGAATTTGGCCTTCCAGATGCTAAATGAAAAGCTGAGCAGCTTGTGGAGTGAAAGCTGAAGAATCTGCTCACTTTCGAAGGTCAACAAGACCTACGAGCATCACTTCGACTTCCCTCGCTACGCCATGTTACGTCCTAACCAATCAATGCTCATGGTTTTGATTTTTTATTTCGTTGACTGAAGTTCCAAGCTCCTTGCATGCCATCAGAATATCTCACCAGCTCCACACACTCCACCTCGAACTAACCGCCGGTTAACAGCAGTGACCGTCGCTGCTCCGCACTTCTATGTCAATCCAGGATTGCCCCGTTTTATTTCGCTACGCTTAAAACACCTGCCGTACTGACGCATATTCGGCCCGTGAAATGGTAGCGCTGCCGTACTATCCAGGCGCCTAAAACACCTGCCATACTATCCAGGCTGGGGCCTGTCGGTCGATTAGTTGCAGATCGCGGACGAGCTACCGCCAGTCCCGCTCTGAACGCTGTGACACGAAGAGGAGCGCTTCGTGAAGCTCATAATCTAACGCCGTTACTGTCACATGAGTGCTGCCTCCTCGCTGCCCATGGTACTGTATGCAGAACGAGTCAGACCGAGCGCCAGTACTTCGAAATATTAGTAGCAGTAAGACAGCGTGAAGAGGCAGGTCGTACCGTTCGCGGCAGTAGAGTTAACAGCCGCAAGACCTCATATAGTTGGAATGATTTATATTCGACTCAAGGGATATGTCAGTTTGTGGTAGTAGCGTCACTAGAGCAGCCGCAACCTCAGGATAATAGCGTTTCACCCTGAGGGTCCATGGCCGTAGTTCTATCGCTCCATGGCTCGTTCTTTCGCACCTTACCAGCAGCACGTTGCTACGCATCCCGTTCGAGCCCGCAAGATTCCAAGCGTGCTAACCGTGCTGCCCAGCAGCTCCTGTCGACCCCATCCTTCCGTCGCTCCTATCCGTGCTAGTTGCAAGTTACAACTCCCATATGCCGCGGCTTCCAACCGTGCCGACCGGCCTGGTCGCGATTACCCGCATCGTGGCGCTACAGGTGGGACGGCGGCGGCGGCGGCGGCGGCGGGGGCAGGAATGGCTCCTTTCGCAGCGGATTTCGGCGCGCCGTCGCACGATTTCGTCGTGCGAACGCTGTCGCCACGCTCCCCCTCGTGTCGAGTGACGCTTCGGGAGGCGCTTCAGCGCGAGGGGGCGGCAGGCGTGGCAGTAGCAGGGGAACGGCACGTGAACAATAGCTGGGCGACAGATCATGATTGTTCAACGACAGTGAACGATGGCCCTTCATCTGCTGCTGCTTCGTCTTCTTCTTCCTCCTCCTCCTCATCCTCCAAATCGTCCGCTTCTTCTCTGCGCGATACGAATTGGAATCTCATCGACGACAGCTTCTGCATGGACTTGCTTTTCAATCCCGACTGTGGGAATCGACGGCGTAGATACGGCGGCGGTGCAAAGCGCAAAGCCAGATCATCGGGGGGCGTTCGAGCTACCCCTCAGAGTTTTCTCGGAAAAAACAGAAACGTAGCGGCGTCAATAGACGTAAATCGTCGGCTTAGCCTAAGCCCTGGTCCGTCAGCGAGGGCCGCGAGATCATCCGTGATCATGCGAGACGATCCTTCGAGGTCGCGAAGTTCGAGCTTCCCAACCGCGATACCTCACACTCACTCTACGGACAAAATCATGTCGTCCTTGAAACCTGTCGTACGTCTCCCGCGTAACGGAGCACCCGCTGCACATGGCGCTTTCCCGACAGAAATAGCGGCAGCAGAGCAAACGGAACAGCGGGGTAGAGGAGTGGGAGATAGCGCAGAGAAATTGGCCAGATCAGGTCGATTGGACAGAGAAGGGGAAGGAGGTGGAAAGGTGATTGTACAGGATGGTCTTGTACATAAAGAGATTGTAGACGAGTTTAGATTAGGCGAAGGGGGTGTACAGTTAGAGGCAGTTTTCCTGAGTGAGTTCGAGGCGCGGGCCCCGTTTGTGGAGTTTACTCTATCGGAAGATGCTGTAAAGGTTGCTTCCTCCCCAAACGCTGGAGGCGCGTCCGTCATTTCCGAGGTAAGGGAATACCTTGGTTTTATCTTCTTGATTCAATTCTCTGTTTTAACACACCACTTGGCGGGACCAGAATGCTTTCAATGTTTGCTAATCTTAAATGGAACAGATTTTGGCACAATAAATGATCTCACACCTCCCCACTTCCCAGTCCCTTTCAGTGGAGTACTTTGTGCGCCATTTCGGTGCATCTGACATAATCTCAGAGATGGAGGTACGTGGAATTTTGAAAATTGAAGAAATCAAGTTACATGTTAGGACAGAACCCCTCCGTTGTTCCCTAGATTCTGTCCCACGCACATGATGATAGTCTTTGCTCTCTATATCTCAGGTACAGTACTGCGACAGCAACTGGAAGAAGGTGGATTACATCTGCAGCTTGTTTGGGCAGCGCTTTGGAGTGTCGGTCACTCGAGCCATGATGTACCCCGACCCTGGTCGATTTGACTACCACCACGCAAAGGCCCTTCTCAGAAAGAAGCTGCATGGACTGGTAAGTTCTGTGGCTGTTCTCCTATGACACGTGTGCTTGCAGCATGCATGAGATGTCCCCTCTGCAACCATTCCTCTCCCTTCTGTAATTTGTTTCCCTTGTGCACTTTCCCCGCTGCCATGCTGCATGGCTCTACTTCTAGGTGGTGGCATGGTCAGGCGTATCTCCCATGCACTGCTTCTCTCGGGCTATCCTTCACATCTGGTGTGAGACCCCCCACATCGCCAACCTCCTACACCAGGCCTTCCCATGTATGCCACGAATCCCTTTTCACCTTTTTTAACCCAACTCTGCTGCTGGTGGTTCACTTGTTTCCTCCACTTCGCGAGTGCCCACCTATGCATATGTTGTTTCCTTACGTCCTGCTGCTTATTTTGTTTGTTGATCGTTGTTCTTTTCCTGTGTCCTCCTTGCGTTTGAGTCAGCTGTGTGCAGAGAGTCTGGCCTTCAAGAGGACGTACTCATCGTTTTAACGGTTGCCGAGGGGAATCATGGGTGGCCCATATTCTACGAGTCTGAAAATACGCACTCTATCATATCCCACTCTGCAGGTTGGAGCATTCCATGTGAAACAGACGAAACTTCCCTCTGCACCTGGGTTCGTATGGGAAAAAAGCACAGATGTAGGTGAGGATTTATCATATGGTTCTACATCAAAGTGTATATATTATGGTGGTTATAGAATGCTAATATGGTGTAAACTGTGATACATGGATTCGACCCATGCCCAATCATAATAAGCTCATTTCAAATATGCAGGTACTTAGTTGATTTGTAACAGGCAGACACATGTTCAAAGCCTGCTAATTTTATGCATGTTATCTTGGATGGTGGTGAAGGTTGCAGGGGGGTGCAAATTCAGTTACTGGTTGAATTAGGAGTTATGGTGTAAGAAAGAGCCGCTTGCCGGTGTACGTCGGATCGCAGCACACACCCATGACGAGGACAAACCGAACATGTCGAGACCACGACAAGCACGTAAATGAAACCGAAAGTGTGGTCTGGACGTTCAACTGTGCCACCCTTTTCCCAAACCAAACCGCACGCAACGCAACCCGTTTCGTCGCCCATGGTCCGAGCTGAAGTTCAGGAAACTGACACGAGGTTGCGTTCTTCCGATTGTGTGTAGTCGAGTCCTAGATATTAGCGCAAAAGTGAAATCCTCAGAGCTGACACAAGCTCACGGAGTTCTCGATGTCGAGATAGCACATCCCAAGCCTCCAAGCCTGTACCTCTGTACCACATGGATGCGTATTGCACCGCATCCAAACGTTTGAAACTCCATTTTCGGCAAGAGCTACTGGCTATTCTCCTGTCCATCATGGCTGCTGCATAGGCCTTCTCCCCACTGCTGTTCTCGCTTTCTGCGGTCGTCAGGTTAGAACCAGCGTAACTATCGGTCGTCGATTTATCGCCAACGAGTTTTTCGGCCTTGAAGGTCCGTCCGACCGGAACCAAAACTGCGCTTGCGGGAAAGGTGGAAGTCGCCTTTCCCCCTGAACTGTCCGTGTTCTAGAATAAGAACATCGTCGGTTTTCACTTGCTCAACTCGTTATTTTAAGTGCTCACCGGAGGCCGACATTGATTGGTCGCAGCTTTCTGACCTCTCGTCTTGTGAATCCACCCACGCGCTATCGCACCGGATGCCAGCTCCTTCTGCGTTCCGTGCTGGCCATCTCAAGGCTGTTTCACAGAATTTCCCCAATTCGAGACGTGTTTTGAGACGTAGAGACGGAACGATTGGGCTGCAGAGACATCCTTCAGAATCGACTTAATTAGTGTTGACTCGTATTGCGCACACTTGCATAGGGGGCTGGCTCGCACGACTCATGGGGGGGGTTTGGACGTAACTTATCGCTTCAGCTAGTAAAGGAGTTTCTTTTTGCTAATTTATTTCGCTATCTCGTACATCGATACGTCTCAGAACGGATTTCGTGTATTTAAACGGCGTCCTCGCGACTCGAAGAGGTGTACATAGTATAGTACTCGACACAAATGCTGTTTCTGCAGAACTCGTTACGAGTCGTCATGGCGAAGCGAGCGGCTTTAGTGCGTCGCATAGGTCCTCCTCCCTCTTAGAGGCCCTCCTCCCTCTTCGTCGGAGAGTTTTTTTTCTGACTCGTCTCAGCCGCAATATGGCCTTTTCAAAATCTCCACCTTCATTTATTTCTAGCGCAATAATAACCTAGCCTCCTTGCAGATAGTTTGTGCAATTAGTTTGCAAATAGTAATGGCGAAGCTGGTCGATTTAGTGCTTCACAGAGGCCTCTCTAGTCGCCGAGCCGGCGTGAACAGCGAGTGGGGACCGTACGCGTTGGGAGCGGTCGATGACTGCGACGAAGACGAAGCTGTCGTCATGATGGACGGCGACGCCGACGAAACCGTTGGCGAAAAGGGTAACAGTGGCGGGGGCAAACGTCAGCGACAGCGACCGCAGCAGCAGCAGCAGCAGTTGCTGTGGCCGCCGCAGGCGCAGCCGCATGAGACGCTGCTTCCGCAGGTGGTGCTTCCAGTGAGACTAGACTCAGCGGGTAACGCGGCGGGAAATGCGGGTGGGGGTGCATTGCAGCAGGGAGTACAGACACACGCTTTGCAGCCACAACCGTTTCAGCAGCAGCAGGAGTTTCCGGAGCAACAGGAGCAGCAGCAACAGCGGTTTTCGGAACAGCAGCAGGGGAATATATTCACCTTCAAGGCCGTCGAAACGTCTCCCGCGGCGCAATCCGCTGCGCAATCCGCTGCGCAATCGGCAGCCATGGATTGTTATTCACCCACCAAGCTAATCCGAACCAAATCCCTCTCCTTCCACCCTTCTGCAACCACCTTCAACCCGCTCCCCTTCCGGGACCTAACCCTTCCCGCCTACTCGCTCATCTCCTCCCCGCACTCCCCCTCGCGCTCCCCACCGCGCTCCCCGTCGCGCGGCGTTTCCCCGGGTTCCGCGGAACCCATGTCCGCGGACGCCTTCTCCGCCGCGCCGTTCGGCTCCCCGTACCACTCTTCCGCCTCTGTCAGCGCAACCTTCCCCGCGAGCTCCCCCGCGTCCCCGTTCCCCGCGCCGTCGTGCGCGTCCGCGTGCTTCTTCCCCGCGGCGGGGGCTCCTCCTCCCCCACGGCCTCCGCTTCCCGCTCCGCTTCCGCCTACGCTTCCGCTTCCGCCGCCGCGGCAGGTGGACTGCCGGCGCATGAACCCGCCCCTAGGGCGGCTGATTTCGCGCCTGTGCGGGTTCCAGTCGGGGATAATGCAGCGCCGCCAGCACGTGTTCGTGATGCACCACGGGGAGCGCGCGGACGCCGCCGACCCCCTGTGGGCGCGGAGAGAGGGCGCGGAGCGCGCGTGGGACCCGCCGCTGTCGGAATGGGGGAAATACCAGGCCTATGAGGTGAGCGCGGTGGGAATAAAGGGGCGAGGCATGACAGAACTAGTCTGTGCTGTGGGCCTTGTGCTATGCGCCTTATGCCCTGCGACTGACTTGTGCCGTGCTCCTTGCACATGGGGAAATGTCTGGTTCGAGCTCGAATTTTCTCCACATGTCTCCCCCTCATTTTCCCACCAGGTGCTCATATTGTGTGCACCGTACCTGCGCTGCGTGGAGACCGCCCTCGAGCTGCTGCTGCTGCTGCTGCTGCTGGTTGTGGTCCGTCTGCTGACTCATGTATCCCCATTTCCCCATTTCCCCATGTCTCCCCATCTTTTCCCGCCAGGTGGGCATGAGGCTAAGGCAGGAGGGGTGGGGAGTCACGCGCATAGTGTGTGCGCCGTACCTGCGCTGCGTGGAGACAGCCCTTGAACTGCTGCTCGCCCTCACTGACGCACAACCCCTTCCACCTTCCTCCTCCTCTGCTCCCACCGCTGCTGCTCCTGCTGGTGCTCCCGCCGCTGCTGCCTCTGCTGCTGATTTAGCTGGTGCTGCTGGTGGTAGCAATGGTGGCAGCTTTGGCGCCAGCAGCAGCAGCCGAATCAGCAGCATGGTACCGGGGGGGAGTAGCTTCCTCTCCTCCTTCTTCTCCTCGCGCTTCCGGCGCAGCAATCTGGGTGGTCGCCAGGCCGCCACTGCTGTCACCACTGGTGGTGGTGGTGGTGCATCTGCTGGTGGTGGTGTTGCTGGTGGTGTTGCCAGTGCTGGCAGCGGTGCTGGAGTGTCCAGGTCTGCATCTGCACGCCAGCAGCACCTCATGCGACGAAGACAGGTACCTCTTTCTCTCCCTGCTTTCTCTTCCCACTCCCCACTCCAACAACTCCCCTCATTCCTGGGTGGTGCTGCTGCTAGTGGTGCTAGGGGTACTAGTGGTGCTGGCAGCGGTGCTGGCGTGTCCAGGTCTGCATCTGCACGCCAGCAGCACCTCATGCGACGAAGACAGGTACCTCTTTCTCTCCCCGCTCTTCTCTTCCCACTCCCCACTCCAACAACTCCCCTCATTCCTGGGTGGTGCTGCTGCTAGTGGTGCTAGGGGTACTAGTGGTGCTGGCAGCGGTGCTGGCGTGTCCAGGTCTGCATCTGCACGCCAGCAGCACCTCATGCGACGAAGACAGGTACCCTTTGCCCACCTCGCTCCGCCCACTCCCTCTGCTCCCCCTACTCCCTTCCCCCTCTCCACCCTTTCTTCCCTCCCCTTCCCCACCCCCCTACTTACCACACCTCTTTCCAAATTTCCTTCCCCTTATGGGGTGCATAACTCCACCAACCCACAAAGTCTCCCTATCATTCCTATCAACTCTTTTCCCCTCCTCCTCTTTTTCTCTCCGCCTTTGCCTATCCCTTCCCCTCCCCCACTCCCCGTGTTCGCCCTTCCCGCAGCAATCCTCCCTCACGCCTCAGCCGAGCCTGGCGCTTCCTCCGGACCGCAAGCGCAAGTTCGGCATGTGGGACGGGGCATGGCAGGGCGCGGGGGGCGTGGGGGGGGAGCTGCGCGTGGCAGTGCATTACGGGCTGCATGAGGTGGTGAGGCAAGGGGAGGGAGGTGCAGAGGGTGCGGCAACAGCAGCTGCAGCAGCAGCGGCAGCACCAGCAGCAGCTGCAGCAGCAGTGGAGCTTTTTGCACAGTCTGGGCGGATGAGGGGGGAAGTGGGGATGGGCGGTGGGGAGGTGAGGGAGGGAGCGGGGCAAGGCGTGTGGCATGTGCAGGGAGCATTACCGGGACATGGACAGGAGCGGAGTGATGGGCAGGGTCAAGGACAGGGACACGGGCAGGAGCGGTGGCAAGGGCAAGGGCAGGGGCAGGGGCAGGGGCAGAATCAGGGAAATTTTACTGTGACTGCCAACACCAGCAGCAGTCCTGCTGCCTCGCTGGCACCTCGCGATTGGCTGGAAGGCATGTTTCCGCCAGGCTCAGTGGACAGGATCTTGCCAGTTGTCACTGGATCAGCAGCTGCTGCTGCTGACGTGGCACTGCCAGGCTGGCCTGAGGATGTGGAGGAGGCAGCATTGCGGCTGCTGCGGTCAATTGACCACGTGGCAGAGCAGGTGGGCAGAGGGAGGGGACAGGTGGGCAAAAAGTAAGGGGGAGGGGGGCAGGGCAAAGTGAGAGGGGAACAGAGTGAGGGGAGGGAGGAGGTCGGTGGGTTGTGGAAGGGTTAGCGTAGAAAAAGGGGAGGGCAGGTGGGCTAGTGGGAGGGCGGACAGGTGGGCTAGTGGGAGTGCACACATTGAAATCTAGTTTCTGGAATCCACTGGGGGGGTGTTTATTCTCTGCATGTGTGGATATGGTTTGCTTTGTCACCACCATCAGCGGCATGTAAGGCAAAAGAAGGTAAAGGGAGAGAGGAGCAGGGAAGGTGGGAAGGGATAATGGCGAGCGGAATCGCTCTGAAACCCTCCTTGTCCGATTGCTGTGTATCCGGTTCGGTATGGCGACAAGTGTCTTTGTTGGTGCAAAGAGGAGGGAGGATGGGTGACTCATCTGTTCCATGTGACCATGTCAACTTCACATACCTTCTGTTGCATTCCCTCCTTTCTGTACGCACCCTCTGCTGTACTCCCTTCCTCCTTGTGCCATGCCTTGCAGTGGCAGGATGAGAACATCATCGTTGTCAGTCACTCGGATGCCGTGCACACGTTTTGAGACGTCTCAAACCTGACCACCTCGATTGTGCTCCCTCCCTGCTTTGCTCCCTTCTGCTGTGCCATGCCATTCCTTGCAGTGGCAGGATGAGAACATCATAGTTGTCAGTCACTCTGATGCCGTGCATGCGTCCACCCTTCGATGCAGAAAGCATGTGAGTGACCTTATTGCCGTATGTGCACACAAGCCTGCTGTGTCGGACACATGTGAGTGACGGTACATCTGTGTATGAGAGACGGTGGTATGTGCCAACTCAGCTTCTCACGTTACGCAAGCGGAAAGTGTTGCAAGCATATGAGGCTGCCAAACATTGGGAGCCCACAAGCATGCTGTTTTAACCAGCCAGCTATTGTGTTCTTCCAAGCGACGCGCCGTTCCTTGTGCTGCTTTGCTGGTGAGTTGAGTTTTGAGTCGACTCAAAACTCTACCAGCCAGCTATTGTGTACACCCTTGCCTCCTTCTTGCCTTGCCTTGTAATTGTGGCAAGCTGTTCTGCCAAGCGGCGCGCCGTTCCTTATGCTGCTCGCTGGTATTGCTGCCTTTCGTGTTATATTCCCCTGCTCTTTCGGCAATGTGCAGGCTACTGTTCACAATATTTTGACAGCGGGTTATGTGCACACACAGAGGAATGTGTATCGGGACCAGGAGGACGAGGAGGAGAGAGGCGTCGGCCAATGGCAGCTTGCATCTCGCTCTGGGAGCACAGGAATTTTCTTTAATTAGCCGCCAAAAGCAGTACTGGAATCCATGTGGTTTTGAGTAAATCTCTTGCCCCGCTCTAATTTGAAGTACATATATTCCGTTTTTGTGGGAGGTTAATTTATGGCATGCGTTGCTGGTTTGAAACGTAAATATGCTGTAAAAGCTGAGTAGATGTCACGAGCTAATCTTCGAGCCGCATTAATTCGATTTCGGTCAAAGCTGCCCAAAGAAATCAGCTTCGTGATGAGCTGGAGCCTTCCCCCAAATTAGCCCAGTACAGTATACCGACCGACCCCACTGACTTGTTTGTCGCATCAATCAAATTAATCTCACCGGTCCACTCACCTACCGTGCCCCTCGCCACGCCACGCCACCCACCAGACTTTGAAAGCTCTTTCCACCAATCAGCATGTATCGCTGTAACGGACGCGACGCGGCTGGTCCTTCCTCTCATTCCGCGATATTTGGGTACTTTTGAGTCGACCCACCTGCTTTCTCGCGTCACCAAAGGGCAATATACTGTGTCTTGTCATTCCTCGAAAGGTTGCTTTTGGGAGTTTTCAAAAGCATCCTTCTCATTCCATCCATTACTCGCTACAGGATCAATTCCGTCTCCTCCGCCGTTATCCTCGCACGAGAAAGCTGCGCGTCTGTAGCGAAGCGACACGACACTACCCGTTGTCCCTAAAAGGCAGACTCTGGAAGTAGCAAGCGGGAGCGTGGAAGGGAGGGGAAACTGGCGGTGGTGGTTGAGTTCCAACGGATAAATATAACTCACTAGTAGCGTTCGTTAGTAGCATTTGCATTATAACCACGTAGCAGCGGCTCGCGCCGCGAGATGGCGGCCGGCAAGATCGAGGCGCCGCCGCTGGTGCTGCCGAAGGAGCAGGTGGACTTGATACGAGCGACGTTCGCGTCCAAGATTCAACCCGATGTGCCTAAACACGCCCTCGAGCTTTACCTCAAGTAATCCTAGACGAGCGTCGCGCGGCCGTTCTCCGCCATGGTATCAAAATCATTCCTACATTTGCCACATTACAGGTGTTAAAAAACAAGATATTGGTTCTTAGGACGCCTAAAAAATCACCAAGATATTGCTTCTGACTTCAGCGATAAACATTTTCACCCACCCTGTCCATCCTCCCTCGCCCCTTCCTATTCCTCCCCCCTTCCCCTCCCCCCTTCTCCCCCCCCCCCCCCCCCCCCCCCCCCACTCTCTTCCCAACCCCCTTCCCCCTCTTCCCTGCGTCTCGTCCGCCCTCCCTCCCGCCTACCCCCTCCCCCCTCTTCCCTGCGTCTACATATCGTCTATCCGGCCTGCACCAAGGTTCGCTTCCATCCCCACCCGCCGTTACCTCTACCGCCTATATTGCGTCTATCCGGCCTGCACCGGGGTTCGCTTCCATTCGCTTCGTCTTCGCGCATGAGTCACGTAAAGGAATGAAAGGAAGCGAACCCCTAACCCCGGTGAATGATTTTCACGCGCATGAATCACCTAAAGCCATGCCTGCTTCCCCAGACCTATGCTTGTTACTAACAAGATAGTATCATCTGACCCGTTGTTATCTATATCAGGATCCCACCCAATTTCACCTAGATTGACCCATTGTCACCCATCAATAACAATCGTCACCCGTCATTGACCTACCCTCGTCTGCGTTCCCCCCTTCCCGCTGCCTCTTACCCCCGGAACCCCCAACACCAAACCCTCAAAGCAGTCTGCTAGAGTAGACACACCACGCCACGCCCCAGCCTCGTTCCAGGGTTTAGGCGAGTCAGATGTTTTCCGCGATTCCATCCACGCCCCTGCCTCGTTCCCCCTCCCACATTCCCCATCCCCCTTCAACTTTTCCACCCGTCTCCCCTCTTTCCATCCTCCTTGCTCAGCCTGTGGGGTCAGGCCGCTGGTGCTCTTTCCGCGTGTGATGAGTCAATTTTTGAGGCGACTAAAAAATAGACTCATCACACGCGTTATGAGTCGACTCAGAAATAGACTCATCACATGTGGGGTCAGGCTGCTGGAGCTCTTTCCAGTCAGGCCTACTGGCCTCGGGAACGTTCATGGGAACGTTCCCCATGCCGTGACTGTCTCTCCTACCCATGCACCCCTGCCACCCCATCCCCCTCCCAGTCCTCTTTTGTCGTCCCGTCCTACCTTTTCTATCCTCCATGCCATCCCCCCTGTCATCCTCCCTGCATCACCGCAGGTTGCGCCGATTCTCGTGGCGGCTCAGGTGTTCCCATTGACACTACTCATACACCACTGCCACCTCATCCCTCTCCCACATCTGCATCATCCCCTCGCCCCTTCTCCGCTCTCCCCCCCTTTCATCCTCTCTGCATCACTGGCAGGTTGCTGGAGCTGATACTTGAGGCGGCTCAGATGTTCTCCATGACTCTGTCCCTGCACTCCTTCCCCGCCTCATCCCGCGCCCACCTTTTCCATCCTCCCTCCCCACCTGCATCACCGCAGGTTGCTGGAGCTGATTCTCTAGGCGGCTCAGATGTTCTCCATGACTCTCACATGCACCTATGCCTCATCCCGCTTCCATTCCCGCCCCACCCTGCTCGGCTGCAGGCTGCTGGAGCTGATACCCGAGGCGGCTCAGATGTTCTCCATGACTCTGTCCCTGTTCTCCTTCGCTGCCAGGAGGGAACGGGATGAGACTGGCGCTCCTTCCCTGCCTCATCGCGCTCCCTCCTTTCCCTTCCTCCCACTTTCTCCATCCTCCCTCCCCACCTGCATCACCGCAGGCTTATAGAGCTGATACCCGAGGCGGCTCAGATGTTCTCCATGGCTCGTTCGTTCCATGCCTCTGCCACCTCATCCCCCCCTCAATATTTGTGTGTTTCCATCCCCCCTTTCATCCCCCCTGCATCACCGCAGGCTAATAGAGCTGATACCCGAGGCGGCTCAGATGTTCTCCATGACGCGCCGAGCCAAGGAGCCGCACAGCGAAAACAAGCTGCTGCGGGCACATGCCACCACAGCCATGGCCATGGTGAGTGTTTGGTGTACGGTCCATGGCGCATGGGGCATGGCATTATAAGGAGCGAGAGACAAGGAGCCAAGGAGCCGCACAGCGAAAACAAGCTGCTGCGGGCACATGCCACCACGGCCATGGCCATGGTGAGTGTCGTGTTGAGTGAATGGTGGATGGTGCATGATGCATGGTGAATATCGCCTGACGCTATCAAGAAAGTAAGACAACGAGCCAAGCAGCTCCACCGTGAGAACAAGCTGCTGCGGGCACATGCCACCACGGCCATGGCCATGGTGAGTTGGTGGTGGATGGTGCAGGCGCGGCGCATGGTGCATGGTGCATGGCGCATGGCGCATGGTGCATGGTGCATGGTGCATGGTGCATGGCGCATGGCGCATGGTGCATGGTGCATGGTGCATGGTGCATGGCGCATGGCGCATGGTGCATGGTGCATGGTGCATGGTGCATGGCGCATGGCGCATGGTGCATGGTGCATGGTGCATGGTGCATGGCGCATGGCGCATGGCGCATGGTGCATGGTGCATGGTGCATGGCGCATGGCGCATGGCGCATGGTGCATGGTGCATGGGGCATGGCGCATGGCGCATGGCGCATAGTGCATAGTGCATGACGCATGGTGCATGGCGCATGGTGCATGGCGCATGGCGCATGGCGCATGGCGCATGGTGCATGGAGCATGGTGCATGGCGCATGGTGCATGGCGCATGGCGCATGACGCATGGCGCATGGCATGGCGCATGGTTCATGGTGCATGGTGCATGGCGCATGGCGCATGGCGCATGGCGCATGGTGCATGCTGAGTGATGCATGCTACATGGTGCATGGTGCTCCGAGTGGTTCCCACAACAGCTATTCGTGGGTACAAAATTTCCACCACTCATCCCCGGCCCACCCTCCCACTCGAACACTTTTTGTGTGCAGCGCCAGTGAAGCTAGCAGCACCTCTTACAATGTCTTTAAAACAATTTCCTTTTCCACCCTAACCCCTGACATTCAACCCTGAACCCCCGAAAGTAAGCTGACTTTCGGAGGAGCAGAACAGCTGCATGGCAGAGCAGTTGTTTTGATGCGTCTCAAAACACTTTTTTCATCACATGACAGAGCGGTAGGTTGAACAGAATCATGCGATTCTGGGGTTTTCCGGCGCCGCGCTTTGAGACGTCTCAAAGGGTTGAACAGAATCATGCAATTCTGGGGTTTTCCCAGCTTCACCTGGCAGAGCCGCGTTTGCTGCTTCGCCTCCACCCACCCTCCCTCCTGCCAGGTGTGTTCAGCAGCAGTGAAGCTGGATCAAGAGAAGGAGGTTCGGGCTTTAAAGACGTCCTTAGCAGACCTCGGTTCCCGACACTTACTATTTGGTGTCACAAGCGATCACGCCCCGGTATGAAGTTGTTTCAAACAATCGCGCATCACAGAAATTAAGTAGCCCCTGGTTTCAACCCACACCCTGATTTGTGAATGGTATTGCCTGTATAAAATCCCTCCACGCTTCAGTCTTTTACACTATTGCTATTATTTCTGCTTGTTCCGTCCCTCATTTTTCCCTCACCGCCTCCCCTCATGCTATCCGCCTGCAGAAGCTAAGGTCTGCGTTTGTGACAGTGGTTTCAAATGCCCTGGGTGAGGAGTGGGGAGGAGACGTGGAGAAAGCGTGGGTGGCCGCCTACAATGCTATAGAGTACATGTTTGTAGCTGGATTCCGTGGTCTGCAACAATAGTCTGTGGATATTTGATTCGTATCCATAAAATAGTTAATATTCATTTATGGTATTCTGAAGGAATCTTTGCGTAAGGTGCAATGGCAAAGTGTAGTTTCGCAACTCCATTGGATATTGTAGGTGCCGAAATATGCGGCGCCACACGCTTGTTGATGTTGATCAATTGCACATTCCACTCACAAACACGTCAGCACGCGACTCGATACGCTTGGACCGAAGTTGTGCTGCCTCCAGCTCAGCCTCTCCACCCCAGGGGGTTTTCCAGCTGGGTAACCTAATCCAATGTACAGCGGATATAACCTGGAAATGTACGCGACGCGAACTGCTCAGGTTCAAAATTGAGGTAACAGCGACGACGCGAAGTCGTTTACTACACTGTATAAATTGCACACAAGCAATTCCACGTCCAGAAAGAATTGAGCAGAACAAAAATATGAAACACTCCCTTCGCATTCATTTCGTCACAAAACTCAGTAAAATACAATATTTGCGTGCCGAAAATAGGCGAAGTTGTTTGAAAGTGGGAAAATCCGAAACCAGGCTCCAGACAGTTTTGCTCTACCTGCACAGCTCAGCTTGTTCAGGCGATTCTTCTGCTGTTCGGCAATCAGCAGGTGGGGTTGGGTTGGGTCGGGTCCTCCTCCCACTGGCTCTCTGGCACTTGTGTTCAGTCAGCTTACCATCAAAGCTGGAAGCCTGCAGAAAAGTAATCAACACGAGTTTGGTATGAATCCAGGCTCCAGAACAGTTATCAACAGCAGCAAAAAGCCACCTTGCCTGTTCCAACGCAGCACACGCCTTTCCTTCCCCTCCCTCGTCTCGTGTCGCCTTCTGCCATGTTTTCCTGGGTCATGGCGGGCAGCGTAACTGCGTGCGTCGCTGTCTCTCTCAGAGCACAGACAAGACAATGCATCAATCCCGCCTGGCCTTCCTGCTCTCCCCGTCCTTCATCAGCCGTGGCAGCTTCTCGTCAGGTCATTTTTCAGAGCAGCGTGCTTATGTATCCCACGAAACACGAGTTCGAGGTTTTCAGGAATAGTGCCGGCAGTGCACATGGCATGACTTCCCCTTCTTGCTAACCCCCCTGCTCTGTGCGATGCACAGTTTGGGACGCCTCATAATTCCCTGCCTTTACTGTTTCTTGACTATTGACTATTTCTTCCCTGCCTTGCTTGCAGCCCTTCCTCCCCCCCACGGACTCGCGCTTTCGCCCAGACCAAAGGGCTCTGGAAGAGGGGGACGAGGCACGGGCGAACGAGGAGAAACGGCGGCTGGAGGGGAAGCAACGCAAGGTAGGAGAATGGGTCAAGAGGGGTCAAAAGAGGTAGGGGGAAGAAGTGCAAGATGTTCTGGAGAAGAGAACATCTTGCACTCAAAGAGGTTGGTGGGCTCGGGGAAATGCAGCTCAAAGGACAATGGAGGAGCCGGGTCAGGGACAGGCAAATTATTTAGAAGTTCTCACAAATTGCAGGCGAAGGAGGATAAGCAGGAAATCCTTTAAAGTTTATTAAAAAAAAAAAAAAACAAAAAACAAAAAACAACAACAACAACAACAACAACAACAAACAAATTCAGTGGTGCGTGTTCAAGGGGCTTGATGTGCAATACAACTACATCAAACTAGTGAGTTGACTTAAAAGTTTAGTGAATCCGCCTCCACTGCACTGTTGTCTTGGCAGGCACGGCAGGTGCAGGCTTCAGGTTGGGAGCCCAGGTGGTTTCAACAGAAGGCACCTGACGGCACCTGGATGTACAAGGGAGGGTACTGGGAGAGACGGGCAGTCAGAGACTGGCAGGGCATTCCTGATATCTTTGCTGATGACGATGACAGCAGCGGTGCTGCTTCTAGTGGTGCCAGTGATGCTGCTACGGTTGCTGCTGGTGCTCCTACTCCTGCTGCCGCTGCTGCAGCGGCTGCTGATCTGGTTGTGAGCTCTAGTAGTGGTGGCTGATGTGCTAGCAACAGTATCACTACTAGCAACGAGGAGGCTTCTCCTGCTAGCAGTGCTGACAGTAGTGCTGTTACTGTTGCTGCTGGTGTTCCCACTGTTGCTGCTGCTACTCCTCCCCACCCGGTTGCTCTCCCTGCTGCTCCTGCCCATGCTGCTGCTGATCTGCTTGCCAGCTCCAACTGCCGTGCCTGATGTGCTGCTGTTGCTCCTGCTAGCAGTGCTGGTGCTAGTGGCTCTAGTCATGTTGCTACTGTTGTTGTTGTTGTTGTTGTTGTTGTTGTTGCTCCTGCGAGCTGCTACCGCACTCCCACCTTCCTGGCTCCTCCTGCCGCTGCTGCTGCCACTGTTGCTGGTCTAGTTGCCAGCTTTAATAATGGTCCTGCTAGCACTGCTGGCAGCTGCAATGGTAGCACCAGTGATGGTCAGGGAGCTGCATCTGTCCTACAGTATTAGAGTACTAGTGCTAGTACTTGTGTTGCAGGGTGAGGAGATTAATTGATCGTCATGTACATACCGTAGTGGTTTGGCCGTTAAGAACGAGACTGCCTGTTTTACCGATTGTTCTCTGATACATTTCTCGTTAGAAATACAACTTATGTACCGGAGTCACTGCATCCTGCACCTACGGCTTGCCAAGTTGAACACTCCCTGTTGTATTGTTGCAACTGTGAATCAATGAACTCAATTGGTGGCACACGCAATCGACTCGTAATACCATGGTTTTATCTGTTGCTGCTTCTTCTCCCAACAAACACAAACTTACCATTCCCGACAATGCGTACGGAGTGATCGTCTACAATAATTTATTAAGTTATTAGCCTACTACCAGCAGCCCAGACACATCTGTCCAGCCACACAACTGGTGGCTGAACAAGTCAATGGGCTGGCAAGATGAATAGGATGGGACTGGAACAGTGAGAAAGTTGCATTCGTGGACTTGGACTCAGATGAACATGCAAATTAGCACCCCCGCACTTGTTATCTACACAAGCCCTCCTCCAACTGCTCTCATGGCACAAGCTGTTTCACTTCCACCTTTCGCTCACTCTTCCTACTTGCTCCCGACGTTCCTGCATGTGAATGTGGTTTTTTCACATGGACTGCCTTCTCTTGCTGGTGCTGCTTCTGCTGCTGCTGCTGTTGCTTTTCCTCACCCAACTCCTGCTCCTGCACCAGTGGTTGCTGCTGCTGCTGTTTCTGCTTCTGTGGCTTCTGCTTATGCTCCTGGTGCTTCTGCTTCTGCTCCTGCTGCAGATGTTTCTGCTTCTTCTCCTTCTCCTGAGGTTTTTTATTTGATTCCTGGTGTTGCTGATTTTTCTGTTCCTGTAACTGCTCCTTCGGCTGCTCTTTCTGCTGCTGCTGCAACTTCAGCTGTTCAACCTGCTCCTTCTCCTGCTGCTCCTTCTCCCTCTGCTCCTTCTCCCTCTGCTCCTTCTCCCTCTGCTCCTTCGCCTTTTGCTCCTTCGCCTTTTGATCCTTCGCCTTTTGATCCTTCTCCTTCTGCTCCTTCTCCTTTCTCTCCCTTTCCCGCTGCTCCTTTTCCCGCTGCTCCTTTTCTCGCTGCTCCTTCTCCCTCTGCTCCTTCTGCCGGTTCTCCTCCTCATCATCCGCAAATAAATCCTTGATTCCCGACCAATCGTGCGCCCCTCGCCGCTCCCAGTACCCTCCCACGTATGTCCACGTGCTCCCCGGCCCCCCTTGCTGCTGGAACCACCGCGGGTGCCATCCCGGCTCGCCTGCTTTCAGTGCCTGCAGGGGAAAGAAGAGCCGTGGAGGCGGGGAGAGACAGTGTCGGGAAAAGATTTATGAGTATGGGTCCTTGTCCCCCCCCACGTATGTCCACGTGCTCCCCGCCCCCCCCTTGCTGCTGGAACCACCGCGGGTGCCACCCCGGCTCGCCTGCTTTCAGGGCCTGGAGGGAAGAACACGAGAACGGATTTTGAGAGGTGGGTGGGGGAGGGGGATGGGTGCGGGAGAGAAAGAAAATGCAGGAGGGGTCAGGTTATTGCGCTGCTTCTGCTCCAGGCGTGACTTCTCCTGAATCGCCCGATCGTAGTACCCCTCTCCTCCACCCTGCATTCCCACACCTGCTGCACCCAGCTCTATGCGCCTCGAAGCACAGCCACACCCCTAGCCTTGCTGTGCGCCTCAACACCCTACCAGTACATCCAGCACCCAAAGTCTCCCTCTCACCTTGCGCTGCTTCTGCTCCAGGCGTGACTTCTCCTGAATCGCCCGGTCATAGTACCCCTCCTCCACCCTGCATTCCCATACCTGCTGCTCCCCCTCTATGGGCCTCAAAACACAACGGCACATGCAGCACCAGAGTCAATCATACCTTGCGCTGCTTCTGCTCCAGGCGTGACTTCTCCTGAATCGCCCGATTGTAATACGCCTCTCCTCCACACTGCATCCCCGCACACAGCTGTACCCCAAGGGTTGCTATGAAACCTAAAAACAATACCAGTACAACCAACACCCGAATCCCCCCTCTCACCTTGCGCTGCTTCTGCTCCAGGCGTGACTTCTCCTGAATCGCCCGGTCATAGTACCCCTGCTCCAACGCCCGCTGGTCCTCCCGCAGACGAGAATCCGTGGGAGGAAGGTGCTCCTGTGATGGGAAAAGGAAGGAAGAAAGGAAGGAAGCAAATGGTGAGGCGCCTCACAGAAACATCTCCCCCTCCAAGGCCCGCTAGTCCGGCCGCAGACGGAAAAAAAAGAGTAACCTTAAAAAAAAAGTGAACGACTCAGTTACGAACTTCTCACGTTGAGTCTCGAAGTGCTCTCGTTGAAAGTGATGCAAGAAGAATCAACTTGTACTTGCAGGGGAAAGGCGAGGGAAAGAGGCACACTTGCAATGCCTCCTGGCTATACTCTGCCGTCAATTCACGAACGAAATAGCGACTTCAGAAGCACGAGAGCAGCCCCTCACCTTGAGTCCAGGAGTCATCTCGTTGAGTGTGATGCAGAAGGGCGTGAACTTGTACTTGCAGGGGAATGGCGAGGGGGCGCACTTCTGCCACAGCAGCTGCGCCGTGGCCAGCACCTCGCTCTCCTCCTTCTGCGACTTGCTGCTCAGCTCCCCCGGCACAAAGTGCAGGAACTGGTCCCACCGCCCCACTAGGGTCGCCTTCTCCTCCCCGTCATCACTTTGAACAATGCCCCGCACCTGTAGTGGGTGTGAATACGCATGGGAGCAGCGGGGAGCGGAGGAGAGGGAAAGGCAGGGAGGCGGAGGAGGGGAGAAAGTAAGAAAGGGACTGGGGGAAGGGGATAGTTGCAGCTGTGCAGTGGCCAGCACCGCACTGAGGACTCAAGTCCTCCTCCACACTCACACACCTCTCAATCGCACAAACACGCACACACAGACACACATACCCACCCACTGACCCCTCCCCACACACACACACAAGCACTAAAACAGGCTTTCTCATGCACGTCAATGCATACCTGATCCTACAACCCCAGACACTCCCCTGATGGCAATTGCGGTCAAAGGAACACACGCTCACACACACACACACACACACACACACACACACACACACACACACACACACACACACACACACACACTCACACACACACCTGATGGGGGTTCCTGTCGAAAGTCGACCACTCTTTAAACCGCAGCCTGGCCGGAAACCCCCGGTTGCCCCGGATCCGCATCGTGCCATAATGGTCCACAAACGGCTTCCCGAGAATCAGATTCTGAATCGACACGGTCACGTTGCTCCACTCAAAGACAAACACACACATCTGATGAAACCCACTCACACACACACCTGATGGGGGTTCCTGTCGAAAGTCGACCGTTCTTTGAACCGCAGCCGCGCCGAAAACCCCCGGTTGCCCCGGATCCTCATCGTGCCGTAATGGTCCACAAACGGCTTCCCGAGAATCAGATTCTAAAATGACACATACCATCACGTTGCTCCACTCAAACACACCTACCTGGTGAAGAACAAACACACACGCATGCATACCTGATGGGGGTTTCGGTCGAAAGTCGACCGTTCTTTGAACCGCAGCCTTGCCGAGAACCCCCGGTTCCCCCGGATCCGCATCGTGCCATAATGGTCCACAAACGGCTTCCCGAGAATCAGATTCTGAATCGACACCGTGACGTTGCTCCACTCAAACACCTCCCCGTCGTCGAAGGCCACGGAGAGCACGCCGACGGGGTCGAGCTGCACGGACGGCCCCCAGAAGCGCACCTTGAGGCACGCGTCCCCCCAGCTGCGCCACCCCGTGCCCTCGCAGTTCCACGCTAGGGTGGGCGGGTAGTGCAGCACCTGGGGGGGGTGGGGGAAGGGGAAAAGAGTAGTAATCAACCCGTGCCCTCACAGTTCCACGTGAGTGTGGTGGTAGTGCAGCACCTGGGGGGGGTGGGGGAAGGGGCAAAAAGAGTAGTAATCAACCCGTGCCCTCACAGTTCCACGCGAGTGTGGTGGTAGTGCAGCACCTGGGGGGGGTGGGGGAAGGGGAAAAGAGTAGTAATCAACCCGTGCCCTCACAGTTCCACGCGAGTGTGGTGGTAGTGCAGCACCTGGGGGGGGTGGGGGAAGGGGAAAAGAGTAGTAATCAACCCGTGCCCTCACAGTTCCACGCGAGTGTGGTGGTAGTGCAGCACCTGGGGGGGGTGGGGGAAGGGGAAAAGAGTAGTAATCAACCCGTGCCCTCACAGTTCCACGCGAGTGTGGTGGTAGTGCAGCACCTGGGGGGGGTGGAGGCGGGGGAAGGGGGGTTGGGGGTAGGAACAAAAGGGGAGAGCGACGGGGAAAGGGCAGGGTCGCGAGTGAGGACGGTGGGATTCTGAAAGGAGATAGCGACTTTTCTCCACCGTTAGATCTCCCCCAGATCGTCCTTGCCGTTTCTAAGCTGCAATGGCTGCCATTGAGCTGCAATCAAACAGTTCTGAGATGCAACAGAGCCACTCGAAGATGCAACGGAACGACTCCGAGATGTAATGTTACAGATCAACTCACTGCCTCTGAGACGTATCGGAAGCCCTTGTCAGGGCAGTCGGCTTCAAACGTCTCTCCCAGCAGCGGGTTGAAGGGCTTGTGCATGCGACCGGCGTTGCCCGAGTAACGTGACACTGCAAAGGCTGCCACGTGTACTGCTCTCATTAGCTTGTTGCCCTGGTGGTGGAAGGGAGGGGGGGTGTGGAGTGGGTTGAAGGGCTTGTGCATGCGACCAGCGTTGCCCGAGTACCGTGACACTGCAAACGCTGCCACGTGCACTGCCCTCATTAGCTTGTTGCCCTTGTGGTTGAAAAGGGGAATGGAGTTTGACGGGTGGAAGAAGAGAGCGAGGAGGGAAGGGTGATGACTCAGAGCCATGCGAAATCTGCCACGTGCAATGAACTCGTTACCTTGTTGCCCTGATGGTGGGTGGAACAAGCAGCGCAACCGAGCTATGCACTCACCCGGCGGCCATACTCGGCGGCGCGGTCGAGCAGCCAGCTGTACTCATACGTCTCGCAGTACTTCTGGTTGGTGCTGATGGGCTCGTTGAAGCTCACAGGCAGCGATACGGTCCCCACTCGGATCCTACCGTTTCCCTGGGTCTGTCCGTCTGACGGCCCACCCGCCCTTCCCAAGCAAGGCTGCACGGAAAGCAAGCAAGCAGCAAGCAAGCAAGCAGCAAGCAGCAGGCCATCCACTCACCCGGCGGCCGTATTCAGCTGCGCGGTCGAGCAGCCAGCTGTACTCGTACGTCTCGCAGTACTTCTGGTTGGTGCTGATGGGCTCGTTGAAGCTCACAGGCAGCGACACCTTGAAGAGGTCCTTGCCCACCAGGTCCTTGAGAATCGACCAGATGCTCACTGGCTTCTCCTCTTCCGCTGGGGGAGGCAGACGCTCCCTGCGAGGTATCTTGGGGTACGTGAATCCCACCTGGTGGGCGGTTGGAAATCGAGGGGTTGGTGGGGGAAAAAGTGGGGAGGAGAAAGCACAGGAAATAAGAGGCAGCGACACCTTGAAGAGGTCCTTGCCCACCAGGTCCTTGAGAATCGACCAGATGCTCACGGGCTTCTCCTCCTCTGCTGGGGGAGGCAGACGCTCCCTGCGAGGTATCTTGGGGTACGTGAATCCCACCTGGTGAGTGGCTCGAGATTGGGTGGTATAAGAAGGTGATGGGGAGAGGGCAGGGAAGGGAAGACGGACGAAAGCAGACGCTTTGAACAGGTGATTCCCCACCAGGTCCTTGAGGTGCTGAGAAGCCAATGCACACACACCCATGTCATTTGAGCCCCAGCCTCTCCCACTCTCAGAAGCTGACTTAGAGAATACAATACACACACACCCATAGCATAGGAGCCCCAGTGCATCCTACTCCACGAGCTGACTCACGGATAACATACCACACCCATGACATATGAGCCCCATCCCACCATCTCCCACTCCTCGAGCTGACTCAGAGAAGAGGTATGAGCCCCAGTCCATCCCACTCCCGCATACCTCCTGAATGTCCAGCACAGTCAGCACACTCCCGGAGCTGACGAAATCATCCATGGCTTCGAAAAACTCATCATCCTGCCCGCCGCTGCTGCCCGACCCTCCCTCGTCCTCGTCATTGTCCCGAGCCAACACCGCAGCCTTGGCGGCGCGCCGAGCCTTGCTCCGAGCCCTCCCCAACCTGCGGCCGCTGTTACCAATCTGGCTTCCACTGCGCTTCAACAGCCCGTGGCCTGCATTGGTCTCCAGCGTAGATTCCGTTACGGTGCCGTTCATGTTGGTAGTAACCGCACTGCTGTCAACCTCCTGATCAACCCCCCCACCTTCCTCCTCCTCCCCTTCCTCCTCCTCGTCGTCCTCCTCCTCTTCGTCCTCATCAAAGGTCGTGCTGGCGTCATCACCGTCGCCAGCTGTGCGGGTGAGGAACATAGGGAGGCGAAGGGGGTTGGGTGGGAGGGAAAGGGGATGGGAGGATTGGGGTTGGGGGGGAGAGGGAATGAGAGGTGGAAACGAAATAAGGAAGGAAAACAATAAGTGGGAAATGGGGAGATGGAGGGGGTAAGCAATAGAAAATGCATAAAACGGATACTAGAATCAAGAAAAGCCACGTCCATGTCACATCGAGCGAGGAGGAGATAGATAATGAGAGGCTAGAGGGAGAAAGAGTGAGGGAGTGAGAGATTGACAAAGAGAGTGAGGGATGGGAGCCTGGGAGACGTACTCATGACGACGCTGTTGCCTGCGTAACCCTGGTTCCTCGTCTCCTCCAGCATAGCCGTTTCCAACTCAACCTTATCCGCTTCAAGCTGCCTCAGTAACCGCAAAAGCTGCAACCGCCGCTTCTGCTCCTCCCGCAGTTTATTCTCCAGCCTGAACACCACCTGCCGCCTCACTATCTCCTCGCACTTAGCGATCTCCTCCACACCCACACTTATACTCGCTAAGTACGCTCTTAGCGGCTCCATGGCCAGAGACGACGCGGCTACCAGCCTGGAATCGTTTACCGAAGGAGCTCGTGCCGAGGCGCGAATCGACTGCAGGTGCTTCATTTTCGCGGCTTGAAGCGCGTCCATCCATAGTAGCCTCCCGGCCTTAGATTCCGTCCTTAATCCAAGCGTCTTAGTCCCGAAAACGTAGAACTTTCTACCGTCAGTCGTGCTGGCTCGGAGCGTCGAGACCTCCAATCGGACGCTGCCATGTGGCATGCGATCGCCAAGCTCGCCTTCGTTAGGCACCACCCCATCTTCGCGCTCCTTCTTCACGAAATGGCGAATCTCATCACCGATCAGTCGAGCTCGAGGGCGACGCTCGAGCTCCTGTAACACGGTTACCCGATCAGGGCCCTCGAGTTTGAAGTAAGACAGCAGGCCCTGGTGGGAGACAAAGGCGGGATGCAGAGTGATATTTAAAATTATGATTTGCTACTGGACAGAGAAAATGGTGTTGGCGTAGATATCAGTGACTCAAGATGCGTTTGGACCTAGGAAATTGATCTTGCGGGACTTGTATTCAGAATTGCCTTGGAAGGAAACCATTGTTGGAAAATGCAAGGGATTATCCAGGTCCCGCCTTGGTATTGCCGCATGATCACACGAGGTTCATATGGGTGCGACCTTGGTACCTTGCATAATTACACCGGGAGTTCTTTGGTTCTCACCTTGGTTTTGCCGAAGAGTGGCACTGGGAATCATCCGGTTCCCACCTTGGAATTGCCGAACAATAAATCAGGGAAAAATCTAGGTCCCAGGGAGGGAATGTTGCCTCTCTTTGAACGTACTCGAAAATGCTTCGACATTTTCAAAAAAAAACGTCGAGTGACGGAGTCCATCCGATTTGGACAATCAACGGGCGTACTGCCCGGGGACGACCAGTTTTGAGAGTTCTCACATCGTGTAGGCCGTGCAGGAGGGCAGACACAAAACTGACTTACCCCTTCCAGAACGAACAGCCGCATGCCCCAGCCTCGCCCCAGGTTCACCCACTTCCACAGAATGCCCATCACCACTTCCGCACCCTCTTCCCCCACCGCCGCTGCCACTACCGCCGCTTCCTCCGCCCTCCTCCCCGCCATCAGCTCCCCCCAGTTCCCCCCGCTTCCGCCGCGCGCACGCGCAGGCACGAGCGCGAGCGACTGCGCGCCGATCCCCGCCGACGATGACGCTGCGCCTGCTGCATCTGTGACAGGTGCCATGGTCGTCGCGCAAGCATCCAGCTCAGACAGCAAGTCGCGCGCTTCTTTGCTGTTGGAGCGCGACAACCCCGATCCTCTCCCGTCGCTCCCAAAAATCCCGAGGCCTCTTCCGTCGCTGCTTTTCCGCCGCTCGCGGCTCGGGCTCGGCCTGCTGCGGCGCGGGCTGAACCTTCCGCGTGTGCAGGAAGGAGCGATCGCGAAGTTACCGCCACTTGCGGAGGACTCACTCTCTTCCGGCTCAAGCATGTTGACGTCATACACGGCTGCTGACGCGAAGTTCTCTTTGTTCCGCCTGCGGAACGGGTTCGGAACTATGCTGGACAGACGGAAACCTGACGGGGACGATGCTTCACCGGGAGAGGGTGATGGAGGGCGGACTATCTCCCCGCTTTCTCCGCCGCTCCTCCTGGCATCGTTAACGCTGCTTCCTCGCGCAAACAGCTCATTGGCTGACGGGGATGACGTCGCAGCGGCAAACACGGCGGTTGCCGACCGACCAGCAGCGAGAATCGCGCTGGACGGCGCCAACCGATCCCCGCCGCTTCCGCCGCTGACTATGTTATTGCGAAAGCTCCGAGACGGCCGGTGCCAGCTACTCGGCGTGGGAGCCTTCGCATTAGGCGAGAGCGGCTTTTCCGCCGGAGATTGCGGGCGCGGACCAGGAACAGAATCCTGCCACGTCATGGATTTCCGAATCACATACGGCTGCACATTGCACAGTGCCGGGACTTGTGCACCGGGCGAGCGAAGATCCGCTGTTCCCAGAAAATCGGAGGACTTGGCGTTGGCTATGTGCCGGCGAGCGAGATTAGTACTAGGTAGGCGGTTGGGACTGGGAAGACGGCGAGGACTCGGCAGACGTCGAGGCTGGTCCGCGTCAGGGGGGCGAGGATCATGCTTACGAGTCGACGCCATGGTTATCGTTTGTAAGGCGGTTGCAGTTAGCTTCTTCTACTCGATTGCGAAGCTTCTCGTACAACTGGTGGCTAAAATACTGTACGGGACAATATTTTCTTACAAATGTTGAAAGCCCATGAAGTACCCCGTCGACACCCCTAAGGACTTCATCGTTACAGGTCCTCTCCTAAAAGCGACGCCACGGGTCTATCACTTCGTTATTAGACCACGCAACGAGCTTTTTTAACTAAAGGGACAGAACCGTCAACTACCCTCTGCTTGACTGTTTCTATCGACTACCGACGCCACGAGACGAAGCTCGAGTAGTCCCGCAATTCAAGCTCACTAAGCCCGAGGAGTTAAGCCCACAAGTGCCTACGAGTACTAAGCGGCGGTCGCTAGCTCTTGACAGGAAACTGCAAGAGACCTGTGCGGATCACACGGAAAAGGCTAAACCACAGCAGCTAAGGTTGCTGCTGGGATAGGTGGTTGAGCCTGGTAAATGGCGTGAGGAGGACACGAGAAGGGGGATGGATAAACGTGGAGAGTCTGTCAGGCGCGGGGTACAGTAGTGGGTGCTGCTAGGATGACGTGATGGGTGGGAGGGAGGGAGCATGACAGACTCGCAAAATGATGGCCAGAGTTCAACTTCTCTCAATCGGACGAAGAGTGGAAACACTGCTGATCATCGAGGTGCTGCGTGTAGTGCGGACTGATAGGAGATGTTCTGCTGCTGACGGTAGCAGATTTTGACGGAAACTTCCGTCACTGTGGTAGGTTTTGGTTTGATAGGCACTCTGGTCGCTACTCCCCCTAACACGGGAGAGGATCTGTCTGACTCGGCTTGGATTTGTTGAGGAGCAAGATGGAGTCGCGTGTTTCACAACGGACAAACGAGCCGCATTTTGTCGGTGTTCGCGACTTCTGCGGCTGGGGCAAACCGCAAAAAATGGCGTGCAACGATTGGTCAATGTGTTCTCGGGTCTTTCAAGTTCGCAAAGTGCCTCGGCGGCGCCTCTTGCGGCTCGCAAAATTCTGCGCGGGAAAGTGCATTGTTTTGCTGTGTGCTTGAACCACTGTCAGTGCACTGTAGCTCCACCATCAAGCTTGCGCGAACTGCCGGAACCAAGTTCCCGAGAGCACCAAGTTTGACGATCAAATAGGTAGAGATTCTGCTACAGCGTGGTGAAACTGCATGAATAAAATATTTAATTAACGAAAATCAATCAAATAATACACCAAATGTCACCATCTTAGAAGGCACGGAACATAAATTAGTGACTGTTATTTTTCAATCATGCTTCTTCTGATATATTACTCATTATGTTGTAGCATTGTGCCAAAGCCGAAGCACCCTTGCAATATGCACTGAACATTCTGGTGTATACCATTGCATCAACAAGGTCAGGGACTTCTGACCGTTCTATACGTGTCCATTCACCTGCACAGAAAACACCCCATCCTTGTGAGGAACATGCAAAAGCCTTCATCACTCAAGCAACATAAAAGGGGATTCTTGGAATCATTCTTACCGTGTGAAGGAGCCAAGGTATCAAACCACCCCAAACCCCGGGCAGCAAGAATGGCAGCCCCTTTCACCCCGACCTCCTGAAATAATCAAAGCAACGAAATAACATGCATGTAAACAGCCAACAAAGCAACAAACTACCGCACGCCTCGCAGAACATCAATTCCGCTACTTGTACCCCTTGCCCTACTACTCGAACATCACATCCGCTAACTAACTCTGAGTAACACGCTCATGCCCATTGGCTTATCTACAAAATATCATGCAATCCCGTGAATGCCACAAACGTCCTCACACGATACGAGATGCCTCTAACCACCTGAGATTTCGAGGTGCCAAAAAAACCACGTGGCAGCAGTTCATTGGAAAGAAATAACTCCACCTGGGAATCAGCGAGGCAGTCGATTGGACGGTTGAACACGGATGCCATGATGCGAACCCAAGTTGACGAGCTGGAGAAAGTGGGTGGGGAGAAGGGGGGACGGGGGAACACAAGGGGCGAAAGGAGAGGTAATTTTTTAGTTGAATAAGAACACACCTCACCTTGGACACGGATGCCATGATGTGAACCCAAGATAACGAGCTGGAGAAAGTGGGGGCGGGGGAAGGGAAGTGGCGGTAAAGGGGGAAAGGTTGGGGCGCCCGGTGGGTGGGAGAGAGGAAATGTGATGTTTATAAGAACTAAAAATTCATCTCTGGTTGAACAAGGATGCAATGATGTGAATTCAATCTGAATAGCTGGGGAGACAGTGGGGGTGAGGCGGTGAGAGGGAGGAAGCGAGGAGGGTTGAGGTAGAGGAGAGAAGACAGAGAAACAGTAGCAGGCCCATAAGCAGCTGTGAAATAAAAAAATCACAAAGCAGAATGGAATTTCACAAGAAGAACACCAACTCTTGCAGTCTTATGGAATGGTGACATGAAGACGGGAGAATAAGGAACGGTGACGGCATTGCATGGGCATACCGGGCAGCACCACCGTCAAAGCGCCGGGCGGAAGGGTTGCTGCTTCTGAATTTTGAGGGGCCTCAAACACAGGAACGGTGACAGCATTGCTGCTTCCCTTGCCTCCACTGTGTGCGCGCATGGCGTTAATTTGAGACGCCTCAAAAGACGGAGATAAGGAACAGTAACAACGTCGCACGGGCATACCGGGCGCCACCACCGACAAAGCGCAGGGCGGAAGGGTTGCTGCTTCCCTTGCCTCCACTGTGTGTGTGCATGGCAGTGTGGGCTGAGAGCAACGCGTATGCCACTCCCTCTTGGACCTGCGGGGATGGGTGGTGAGGGAAGAGAGTGGGAGGTGCAAGGATCAGCGGTGGCAGTGATTAGAGGTCATGCATGCATGGCAATGTGGGCTGAGAGCAGCGCGTATGCCACTCCCTTTTGAACCTGCAGAAATGCGCGGTGGAGGGAAGGCAGCAGGAGATGCAAGGATGAGCAATGGAGGTGTGGGATGTGGGCTGAGAGCAATGCATATGCCACTCCTTCTTGGACCACCGGAGGGGATGAGCGGGAGGGTAAGGTGTATGAAGAAGTGTTTTGAGACGTCTCAAAACACTTCTTCATGCACGTGGCAAGGGTGTAGTGGAGGTGCAGAGATGAGCAGCGCACCATATAGGCCAAGAGGAGGGCCTAGCCATACTCTAGGGCATGCTACATGCATACCATACCATGGGGCATGCTACGCACATACCATACCATGGGGCATGCTACGCACATACCATACCATGGGGCATGCTACGCACATACCATACCATGGGGCATGCTACGCACATACCATACCATGGGGCATGCTACGCACATACCATACCATGGGGCATGCTACGCACATACCGCACGTATCATGTGTGCTTGAGTGGTAGAGGCAGATATGCCGATAAATGTCGCTCGCATGTTGGGGTCCTCGAATGGACACCGCTCGCCTGATTGCATGGCACGACATGGCATGGCAAGGCAAGGCATGCCACAGCACAGCATGGGAGGTGAGTGAACCTCCAGCAACACATGAAATGGGATGCTTGTGTCACTTTCAAGAATTCCTTAGCCCTAGAACTGGCAGATGGGTGGGAAGGTGATTGAACATCCAGGAACAACTGACTAGCACAGCTCATGGCTTGGGTGATGCATGGGTCCCCAGGAACACGAGAGTTGGAATGAAGAAGTTCATATTTGCATTGAGGCGACGATACGTTGAAACGAAACCGCGCTTTTGAGACGATAATCTGCACCCTTGAGAAGTTATATTGAGACGGTGTTTGCGAAGCGATGATGATGTGTGTTTCTTAGGCGCCTCAGAAACAGGGATAGCGATGATGATGTGTTTCCGAGTCACCGTTTAAAAACGGGAGGTAGAGGAGGCCACCACTGCCAGCTGGCACGGATGCTGCTGCCATGTCAGCATTCTGGAAGGCAGATTCTGCCACGTCTGGTTGGAGGGAATGGTGAGAGGCGGAATGACCATTTGATGATGAACGGGATGCCTTTTGAGGCGTCTCAATAGAGGGAATAACAAAAAGCGGAATGGCGATTTGATGATGAACGGGATGCGATGCGATGATAGGTCATTTCAGGTTGCCATGCGATCATTATCGGTGATGTGGACACATGGCCTCTCGTGTGCAAGCACATTCGCACACAGAAAAACATGCACACACACAAGAACAAACCAACACATGCATGCGCATGAGCACCACAGGAGAGAAAGACTTGCCAGTGCTGCCGCTGCTGCTGAGGAGGTTGCTGATAGCCCACTTCAGATTGCCCCCTGCTGTCATAATGGGTGCTGGTGGGTAGATGGAAACACTCAGAGACGAAGGTGAGAAAAACCTGCCGGTGCAAAACATGTGCACACACACGTGTGAACTCACTCACCCCCCGCACCAACCCACTTCTGAAAAAACTCATATTTTACCTTTTGGTTTCCCAAGAGTTGATTCTAGAGTGGCACACACATACACTCACACTCCATACGCACCCACCTGTGAGAAAGAACAGAGCGGGTATGGGTTTTTCACACACCTCAAAAAGCGTTCTACCTGTTCGGAAGACCAGTGAGGGGTCGGGATGAGCGAGAGTGAACACGCCCTGAGACCACGAGGGTGGTTGACCCGATGCCAGAGGCTGAGCCGCCAGTGGTGGTGGCTGTGTGGAAGGCGGGTTGGGTGGCTGCGTTGCTGGTTGGAAGGGCAGGTGCAGGGGAAAGGACCCTGCCACCCACCTGATGTGTTGAGAGGGGCGTTGGAAGGGGAGAGGGTGGGGAGCGCAGCAGACCGGCCAGCAGACCAACCAGCAGAGCAGCTAAAGAGAATTGAACGAGGTAGGACGGAGAGGAGTTGGATGGCAGGACTCGGATGGAAGAATTCGGATAACAGATCGGATAGCATGCCAAGTCTTTGATTAGCTCACTGCTTTGGAAATTTTGCATTTGTCAGATCAAACACACCTCCTCAATCACTACTTGAATCATTTGGATATCTGATCAAACTGCAGG